AACCTCTACTATTATACGTGATGTTCGTTCAATATAGGTAAAATATAAGAAATTAAAAAAAAAAAAAAACCGATTTCCATGCAAATAGTGCAAATTCGTTCGACAACTTCTTCATAGACAAAAAAAAAAAAAAACAAAAAAATTGAAGTAAAACTATTACCTATGTCTACCCAGGGCTATATCTTTACAGAAAAGTTGGAATCCATTGAACTGTTAGAACACAAAAGTTAAATGCTAAAAGTAAATGTGAATAAAAAAAAAAAAAAAAAAAAACAACGACGTGTTAAAAACATTTGGCGTCACCGTCTATGCCCACCTCTTAAGAATTTTTTCTACTATGTAGTATTTGGTTTAATCGATCTATGATTATTGAACGAAAAACAAAAAAACTAAACGATAGTAAACACATTATTAAAAGTTTAACAACACTTGTTTTTAATTTCGATGTCCTAAGAACATTGTAGTTATTAATATTTTAAAATGCATTTTCCCGTTCTATGGTAATATCACGCTTCCTATGTTTTTGTAATAATTGGTGTCATCCAGTAAATTACTTAATAGATCCATACAACAATAACCATAATATGGTTTAAAAAATTACTAAATCACGTTATTTCGAGTGTTCACTTGACTGCTGCAATTACACCGCGGTGAGTGACCGATTTTGAATATATGAATATAATATTTTATAAAATAATTTATTCACCGATGATTTTTTACGAGTGTCAACAGCATTCAATAATACTCGAAATTCACCAATGTCGTCGAGTATTAACATAATGTGTACCTATGCTTCAACTTGTACATTCGCATTTCGCGAATGTAAAATTTAATATTAAAGAAGCGGTTGAAGTGGGAAAAACTTTGACTGGATGTTTCCCAAACATTTATGGATGCAGTTCTCGAGAACTAATTCCAACCAAACTTTTAGGAAACCTACTGAATAGTCTTGGTTGCAGAAAAACACTCTTCCAAAATGTTTTTCTTCCATTCGTTCATGGGAATGCTATGCTATGAAAATACTTAGTTAATAGGTTTTGAAATTAAACTTCACCTGTACCAAAAAAATAAAAACATTATCCTACGCCGTATGATGTTCAGCCGCAATGTTCAGTAAACATAAAGTAAAATAGCCTGATTATGTATAAGCCAATTTTCTTCTTCTCCTTCGACTTCATCCCAGCTATTTTTGGGATCGGCCATCCTCCAATTTGCACTTGACCTGATTATTCACATCGACTTCGCATACATCCGCCGTCCCCTTATCATTCTCAATCACTTCCGACCACCTCTGTTTTGATCGTCCTTTCTTCCTCTTTCCGCTTACGTATAAAACACAATATTAAAAAATTTGTTTTCGATATTTAATTTTAAAATAAATCTCAGTGGCATTAACTAAATTGTCTACCCGATTTCGAAATCTTAAATTGAAGGTGACGGACAATTTCACCATAAATAAGAAAGCAGACTCTGTATCCCCTCACTATCAATTCCGGTTTTATACTTAATGGTGTAAAAAAAAATCGATTTAATTTTATTTATCTTCTATTACAACGATCAATTCTATGGTGACAAACCCCTTAAAAAAAAAACATTTTTTTAGCTAATACTATTATGAAGTCTTAAATACTGCAGATATAGTCAGTAGATAACTACATATACGATTAAGTTATTTTGATTCAATTATTAGGGTTTAGAAAATTTAGTTTGTAATTTTTTTACAGAAAAATGTAAATAAAATTGAATTACTTTTCTATTTGATAATAGACAATTGTTTATATATTTTTAAAAATAATCACATTGATTCAATTTATTTTTACGACATTTGACATTTTATAATATTACCATGATGCAGTGCGTAAGTACCTAAATGTACCAGGTGATTCATTTAACTGAGTACACTCATTATCTCGGAAAGTATTCACTTTTTCAGGAATTTGTTTTCTAGAACATTTAAGAAACAAGTTGCTCCACCATTTAATATTTATGTAATTCTTTTCATCCTTATTTTTGAGGGTAAAACAATTACATACTTTTGATTATCAAATGACAACCTATATTAAAAAGTCCATGAATGGATTCAGTATTAGTTAAAATAAATTTTAGTGTTAAAATCTTTTAATCAAAAGTAGGTAGATGTTTTACCTCCAAAAATAAGGGTGACACAAAAAATAACACACATATAAATTGTGGAGCAGCTTGTTTCTTAAATGTTCTAGAAAACAAATTCCCGACAAAGTCAATACTTTCCGGGATAATGAGTGTACTAACTTAAATGAATCACCTGGTATGTATATATGTATAGGTAGTTTTAAATCTGTATATATTTTTTTCGACGCCGAGATTTCGTTACACTAAATCAAATATCAGCAAGATGCCTGTGATTGTACGTAAATCGTCATTACCTTGACTAAAAGTATAATAATATATTAGTCGGCGAATTATACGAATTATTATTTTCGTCGATTATTAACTTTTCCTTTCTATATTAAAAATCGTATTTTGTACTCGGGTACATAATTTTTAATAGCATAACCCGTAAAAATAGTGCATTAATTTCGTGCGTATAATAATTTTTTTAACCATAAATATACATATATATTTCGTAAAACAGTATTTCGACTTTCAAGTAGGTACCTACATATCATAATTGTTTTCGTGGGTCGGTACAGCGTTACTATTATTATATCGCGTGACGATAATTTAAATTGTTTACCGATGTTTCTATATTTTTCTATCTCGTCGAACAATGTTAAATTATAATCTAATATATACGTGTTCGTTTTCCTGAATGGAAAATAAAACAAAATGCCTAGATATTTCTGGACAGCTATTATACTATATTATTTGCTTGACTTTATTTCGGAAAAAAAAAATATTTTGGCTGTTCGCGTATTTTTGTATCTGTATTAGTTTTTCTGGACTGTGGGTGTGTGCGTTTTTTTTTTTCAAATCTAAAAACGCTTTTTGGTTTGGTAATGCTCCAATTTTTCCATGCAACAATTTTGTATCAAATTTAAAAACCCGACACAAACGTGCAGATACGTCGGTTTTATTTTTGTCGATTTTTGGGTTACACCTGACTATAATAAAAAACACACACAACCTATAATACTCAGCTCAGATATATATATTTCGATTGCGATGATGTATCGTTGCTTTCGGTATATAAATTGAATAACGTGCATATTTATTTACAATAAAAAAAAAACCGTATTTCGCCGTAGTCTAAATTAAAAAAAAAAAAAAAAAAAAAAACAGCGAAATAATAACGGGGGGGCGGAGGCAGGGACGGGGAACGCAGTAGATTTTTCGGTCGATTCTGTTACAGAGGACCGCGACGACGACACGTCACCGGACACGGGTACCGGTACCGCAAATAATATGATCTACACGACGAGACTGCGGCGAACTGCGCGCGTCGACGGCCCGGCGCGGTTATACGGGTAGTATTCATTGGACGTTTTTTTTTTCAAATTAACGAATCGCAATTAACGTCGCGCCACACTGTACGCGTAACAGTGACTGTACGTACGGCGTTCGCTGAAAACGAATCGCGCGGTGTCCGCGGCCACAATAACCCGTACGGATAACGTTTATTGTTATTGTTGTTGTTGTTGTTGTTGTTGTTGTTGTTGTTGTTGTGCCGCAGACCGCACGCAGTCGGCGTGAGCCCCTCGAGTAGGTTGTCGTCACTCGCACGCGAATAACAACAATGATCTCGGCCGCGGTATTGCGATTTTCAGTCGGACTATTTGCTTTATTCGTTTGCCATTCGATTATTTTCGTTTGTACGTCTGGCGGCGGGAAACGGGTGTCCGGATTAAAATATAACGCTGTAATTACGCTTTTGGTTTGCCACCCCCCCAGACGTATCCCGGCCGCCAGTGTTCACAGCTAACGTCAAGGCCGAGCACGATCGGAGACCGCAGTATCAGACACGCAACGATAATTGCAATATTGTACGCGAGCGAGCGCATACGTTATAATATCCATACATTTATTACGTTTACGGCATCGCGGAACCGCCGTGGTTTTCGCACTGTAAATTAATAATAAAGCATCGTACGCGTGTTATATTACGCGTGCGCAAGTTCCTACGCAATACTCCGTGTACGGTGTGTTGAAGATGGCCGAAAAAAAAAAAATAAAAATAATCGAACGTACACGGGACATATGGCAGTTGCGGTTCGGTATTACTCGAGCCCCGGCGGTCTCCATTGAATACGCGGAACGGATTCACGCGAACGGAAAATTCGCACTCGCGTATACGCAATACGCGTGCGTTTACCAACCGCGTTCACGTGATTTGGCGTTGTTAACGCGAACACGTAGTGAAATTACGTGAAATACGGATTTTTTAAGTACGCGGTTTTATAGATTCAAATATTAATTTCACGCGGAATACCTGAAATAGAGAGCTTATATTACCGTTTTAGCAATACCACAACCGTCACATTCCGACGTTATAGGTTTTGGGTTATCCGAAAACAAACAGCCCGCCAATAATGTTTACATATCCTACTCGTGATATTATAAATGCTGATGAAGCAGCAACTGTTTCGCGAAGTTTCTTTGTTATTCTTACTTAATCAACATTAACACGATTTGATGTGGCCAGTTGCAAATTTCCAGATCCGAACCATCGTTTTAATAGCCCGTGCTGGGTTCCAGTGCGATTCATATTATTTCTTTGATCTACAATAACACCAACTACCAATTAAAGTTCTTTTTGGAAATGAACCGAAAATTGGTCTGGCTTCTTCAAATTTGCATTTAGATTTAATTAAAAAACTGTCTATTGAAGAACAGCTAGAAGAAATGTATCAATAAATACTACAACAGATCAATTAAGATCAACCTGCTCAATTTGCAGTAAAGAAATAGTTGTTAAAATCGATTCTGCAGAAGCCATAGTTTGCGATTTATGTAAGAAAGGCGAACAAATTGAAAAAGAACGTTAAGAATCCCACGAAGGACAAAAGAAAGCAGCGATAAAAATGTTACACGTTAGATTTAAAAATTTAAATACTTTAATTATTATAAATACCCAATAACAAATGTTTCCATTAAATTATTTATATAGAAGAGCAAAGCCGAAATTTCAGAACACAAAATGAATGACTGTGTGATTATTCCAGTACCAAAAATAGACAAAGGACCTTCAGATCCTGTAAACGCAATTGGTGTTATTGTAAATCAAAGAAATAACATGAATTGTATAGGGACCCAGCATGGATTATTAAAGAATGGTTTGGATCTGGAAATTTGGAACTGGCCACATCAAATTTTATTAATGTTGATCGAGTAAAAAATAACAAAGAAATAACACTTCATGAAACAGTTGCTACTTTATCAAGGAACAAGGGTATTTGAGCTGTTGGTGTAAAAAAAAAAAAAATATAATAATCGTTGTCACGACGATTTAACTCAATTTTTAAATTAATAAATTAAAATTGAAATCGAATAAATTAAACCTATGATAGTATAATATGAATTAAATGTATATCATAGTTTGTTTCACTAAGTGGATGGCCATTTGATGAAAAAAATTACACGATATGAAATTTTAGTATCCATTTTGTGAAAAGATATCTATTTCATGGAATTTGTAAAAATTTTATTTATTTCACTAAGTGGAAAAAAAACGGTTTCCATTTCATAAACTGGATAATTTCCATGAAATGGACAATTTCATCAAGTGTACGTGGCATATATATATATATATACTATTTTTTTCTACCGAATTTATCCCCTAAATGAAAGTTGACACAGAATATTTTAGGAACAAATATCTTATTATGTTTGATTTGTGGGTTATCTTGATGATAAGGATAGAACCATATTGCCGAACTAAAATCACCAACTTTAAGGAAGCCAGAATTATGAATACATCAAAGACCCATGTGGGCTATGCCCACAGAATTTCTTTTACACGACTCTTATAACAAGGAACTAGTAACTACACGTTTCATTTAAAATGTATTGTATTTATACATTTATCATAGCTATTATAACATTTTGTATACACACAAGCATTGTTCGTAGGAAATCTGTATTTTTTTCTGCTCATTAAATATAAAATTTGTGAATAAAATATTTAGTCGTCGCTATGAAAACACTCGGTGGTTTTTTTGAGGGGGTTAATTTTAAACTTGAGTGTGCTAATGAACCCATTGCGTTTGTGAATTTAAAATGAAAAATATTTTAAAACGAACAAAACAAAAACACAAATAATTAGGCAGTCCGTGTAAAGGCCGTAACAGCATAATGATAATTTTTTTAATTGGGTTTTTGGTACGAGAAACGACAGGTAGAACGGCTAATATCTAAATAATACGTTTACGATAATTTTCCGGACTTTAAAATGTCTCGGGCGCATACCTAACTAATATCCTTCAGATCGATATGCTTCATAAATTTCAGTAAGAATTTTTATTTTTTGCCATTTATCGAATCATTCACAGTTTAATTACGCATATAATAGATATGCAACGGTTTTATAAGAAAACAGCCCCCCATCCAGTACCTAGGTAGTTATTATTATTATGGCAGATAGTAATTATTAATCCAGAAACATATTGAAGCGATTTTCTTACAATTAATATATCTATCTATGGAGGACGGTTCATATATGTTAAAAAAATGATATGTACCTGTAGTTCGTTTAATATTAAATGCCAGTGGTGTAGTATACTGTAGTAAACAACAAGCGTGGTAGTTGTTAATTATTTTGTTTTACAATACAGTAGATTTTATAAACTCATACAATTATACAATTTCGAGACAATTAATATAATTACAGTACATATTTAGTTGTTATTTGTTAAAATAAAAAATGTAGAAATCCCAGCTACGCCGTAAGATTAAAACAGATAATATACATAAAAAATAAACAAAAACCAATTATGCATCTCGAAATGATGCTATTTTTTGTATAATAGTTACCTAGCTACATAATAATATGCATTGTGGAATGTGGGTAGAACGAGCAATTATTAGCGAGATATTACTACATTGGGCAATATTAGAGCTTATAAATAGAAAAAAATACGAGTTTTAATAATTGAGTCTGGCTTCTCGTCACCGGTTGCCAAATGAAAAATAAAAATATTATTCTAAATAAGCATCGCGCATATATTAAAATATAGATACGTTTCATTAAACGAAATATTATTCAATTTTATAGACAATAATGTGTATTTTACTGTTTATACTGTTTGTAAACAGGTATACACAGTGTCTAAGAAATCTGACGAATGCAATAGGTAACTTTTTGTGCTGTTTAATTTTTTTAAGGTTTTTTTTTCTTATAATGATCACTAGAGCATTGCATTCGAATATTGTATATTTGTTTAATTTATTTATAACAAAATATTGGTGTTAAACATTTTTACTATAATAATGAGCTATTATTCATTTTTTTTTACAGTTTTTTAAGTTCAAACAAGTTTTTTTTATTCATTGCTAATATTAAATAATTGTTGAATTATAATTAATAAAAACGATAAAAAAAAGTAATGACACATATTACATCATATTATTGCTGTGAATATTTGTTCACAGAAAAATAAATTGATATTATTTAGTACCTATACATTTAGGATACCTTATATGTCATTAAATAGTAGCAATAAAAAAAATTTAAACTATCGTAAACTTAAACAACACTTTATAAAATAACGATTAATCATTATGGTAAACGTTTGTGTATTAGAATAAATTTATAAAATGGCATTAATAAAATCTTTAATTTTGTTAACAAAATACCATCGATATATTTTGTTAAAAGGGCGAATACCAACAGAAATCGAAAAATCCGAAAAATTAACATAGCATAAACTGGTAAAAGGTTGTATTTAACTACAGAAAGTTAAGTTGGTAATATCGACTAAAAGACATCCTATTTAAAATGTCGTTGAATAAACTAGATATTTCAACACTTTTACTACGGTAAAAAACACGGTTTTCTGATCTAGAAAAAAACCCCATATTATTATTGTCATCTCAGAATTGCATTTTACTTCTTATAATAAATTATTTAAATGAACAAAAGATTATTTGCTGGTACAGTTATAGAATTATTAATTGTCTATATTTGTTCAGTTAAATAACTCTAGGTATTTTATATTTCTAACGTCTCGTCTACAACAGTAGCACAACCATCAACATGAAAAGTTTTTTTATATTTTAGAATTAAAAATCAACTATAATAAATAAAAAAAAAAAAATGAACAATAAATCGAATAAAGTTTGATTTATTACATACTTCTCAATCTATATGCAAAGAGACAGTCCTCAGTTAAAATTATTTCAGTTCCCAATGATGATTTTGATAAAGACTAAATAACAATTAAAACAAAAATTGTTTTTTGTTTTCACTATCGAAGCAAGACGATTAAACATTTTATAATTCTACTAAAACGTTCTTCACCTAGACGAAAAAAAAAATCAAATCAAATTCAAGGTAGTACTCAAAGTAAATTGCGGATATATTTATCTGTAGTATTTACAAGATTATATTTTCATGTTATATACATAGAATATATTATATTGTTGATCAAAAAATCAATGAATCTGTACAACGACCCCCAAACTTCAAGATTACAAAGGTATGTATTGTTGATGAACGTGCCGCTGTTTTAGAAAGGAAATGGAAAAGGAGGATATTATTTTTTGGGAAAACCTCAAAAATGTTACAAACTCGCTAAAATATTATAAAAGAAAATTAATAAAGTTTAAAAAGCCTTCAAAAGTTTAAAGTTTCTTGTTATCGTTCAAACTTAAATATATTACATTAGTAACATAATTGATTATTGGCATACATTTGTAACGGAATAAACATCGCACTGCAGAATTCTTTGGAAAATAATGCAATAATTACAGTCAATATTATACTAGAGTAGTAGAGTATACATCATAAAGGCATATAATTCTTAAAATGTTTACATTTTTAAAATGTGTGGGTTAAAAATATTTAATTTACAACAATTAATATTTGTTAAAACAAAAGAAACCAATAGCAATTTAAATTCTTAAAAACTATACAGGGTGATTCAATAAGCATGCTCACCGAATTTTCGGAATTTTTAATATACGTTTTCATTTGAAAAATCAAAGTTGATATCACCACGGGATACCAACTTCTTAAATGTTGTGGAAAATCTAATTATTCGAAACCATTGGCTTTAACTATACTTAAAAATTCCAATAATCAGAATTTGAATATATGCAAAATTTAACTGAAAAAAATGGGGTGAGCACGCTTAGTGAATCAACTTGTATATGCTAATATAATAATTAATAGTATATATAAAAATGCACAGATCCACGACCTTAACGGATACGTTGTGAATTTAAATTATTTTGTTTATACACTAGCCAGTATTTATTTAAATAATATCTTCAAGTTATATAAAATTTAGACTTTTATGCGGTTTATATTACTAATAGCTATTGTAGTTAATGTTATAGCTGTGAGGTCTTTCTGACGTCATGAAAAACTACGTCTAGAAAACTAAGATTATAATTTTCAAATTATTAATTAACTTAACCTGTGAAATGTATGACCTTCAATACAATGTCAATGTCATTAATATGTCTGAAATTATCCATTCCTTCAAATATGTATCCAAAATATGATCATAAGTAATAATAATAATAAAAGTCCATTTTATTAACTCGAATACACATTCAATAAAAAACTTAGTCAATATCTTATATAATATAATAGCATTATGAAAAGTTACTACGTGTAATTTTTTTCCTACTTAAAATTACTGAAATTAAAAAATTGTATTACGAAACTACTTAAACAGGATAATTTTTTTCATAACCTTGAAATGTCAATTATTATTGTTAGAGCTCCCTATTTCAATTATTCACGTAAAATTAACATTTGAATCTATAAAACCGTGTACTTAAAAATTCACCTATACGCGTACATATAAATTCACGTATAATACGTTATTTTTTTACTTAATTTTACTGCGCATTTACGTGAATACAAATTTTTCACTTGTACAGTCTACACGAACTTCCTTTTTCAAGTAAGTAAAAATTATTATTTCAATCAATCTAAACTTATTTTTACTATAGCAAACGTAATCTAATATATTTTTATAGGTGTATTCATATACTATATTATTAATATTATTATTATTATTATTAATATTTATAGCAAAGGTAATTACAACATTTAAATTATTCATTCAGCTTAACTATAATAATCCCTGAGAATACCCGGTATATTTGATTCATCATAATCATTATAGTCTTATCGATAATTTTAAAACAACTTATTTCATTATTATCCAATAAAAATGGTTGAACTCAATTTTTATTAGTTAACTGATTGTTAATGTTAGCGATATATTGCTATAAGCTTACGCTTAAGTCTAGGTTACCTATGTTGAACTATACGCTGGTACGATAAAGTATGACAACTGGCAGTAAGTTAAAATTTAACGGGACATTGACACATTGTAACAACGTGCACAATAATAAAACGAATAAAAAACAAAAATTGGATTTACTTTAAAATTAAAATCTATTCTAAATCATTCTTACAGATAAGTGCCTAGTTCATGTGATTTGCGTCAAAACATAATAGGTACCATAATATTATATTTTAAAATTATGAATAAATAAAAAAGAACCAGGATGGGTGTGCCCATTGTTGTAAGTAGAAAGTTGGTAAGATAAAATACATAAATTTATTTAATTTATATCTGTAAACAACGATAACCCATTGCTAACAAAATAAAATATTCTGAGCGAAGTTTGGTTACACATAATTTGAAACACCGTAGTTTTTACGATTTTCTTTAAAGTTTGATCTTAAAAATCTTATAAAAAGTTACTTAATTAGGCTAACTTTTTTTACCACTAAGTACAACTTATAATAAACCTCGTGTTAAATTTTCAAGTATTTCTGTTTGGTCAAAGAATTTTATCCACTTAATACTTACCAAATAAAGAATAAAGAAACTCAAAAATATCAGATGTTTATAAACAACTTGAAAATCGCAGGAATGTTTTACAAATTTCACTATTATTCTGTGAAAATTGCAGGTTTCTACAAAATATTTGAATGTAAAATATTTTGAACCGAATAACAACAAAAAATAAAATTAAAAATAATAAAATCGTTATTTCCGTAAACATTCCCATTTTTATTCAAAAAACTATACGGAATATTAAAAGTTGACTCATATACGTAACAACTAAACAAAATTTTCTTTCAAAAAACATACTACACTTGAATTTCGGTGCAAGATGAAAAACTAAAAATAATAAAACTGTTAACGCGGTAAATTTATTAATTTATTATAATTATTATAAAAATCGCTTAGAAAATCAAAAAATGATTTCCAAATGCATCAACTAGATCCAAAATTCAAGAAAAAAGTTTTTACCTTTTTTCGATTGGAACGAGATTTTTCAAGTTAATCAAAGTTGATCACAAAATAAATTCATTCAATAAAACCTATGCTGTAATCTAATAGTATCAGTCGTACCTACGGTGTTTGTATTTAATTATTGAAACAAGAAAAACAATTACTTAACAGTAATACCATTGGTTATTTGACAAATTATTTCGATAACTCTAGAAGTAATATTATAGAAATGATAGGTCCGATCAATTTCGATTATTTGCAGTTTATTTTATAACGATTAATTTTGATTAATCGATATGTACATTTATGTAAAAAAAAAAAAAAAAAAAATGATAAATTATTTTCGATTAATCGAGGTTTTTAAGAAAAGATAATTAAGATAATTAAAAAGATTATTATTTGCGGCAGATGTCAAGTTCTAATGTAATAATAGTCTGCTTCGACTGCTGCAGTACCTTCGTATTATAATTCTAACCTTGTCTAATCATCTATAAAATGAATTGTTTTTAACAGGTAATACTTTATGAAAACAATTTGCCACCCAAAAGATAGGCGATAAATCTTAATTTAATCGTGCTTATTTTTTTTTAACATTTTACAATATCTCAACATCTAAGTAAAACTTAAAAGGAGATTTATTTAATCAATTGAGGAAATGATGCGAGTCGGCTGGATGTTTCAGGACTGTTTAAACTTTGGGGAGTGCCATTTAGTTGCAGCCAAAGTTGGCAACCGCAAGTGTATGATTTAGGATCAAGTCGTAAAGATAAGATGATCGGTTGAAAATTATTATTATTGTTTTTGTTTTACAAATCATACTATAATAACAGATAGTAATTTAAAAATACTCATACATTTTGTTTTGTGAATATAAATTACACCGCAGATAAAATTACTAGTATAGGTATACACATGAGTATACCAATTAATTTTAAGTTTTGTAAGAAATGTTTTTGTGCTGGCGAAAACACAACAGTTGTTTTTGGTTTATTTTTAAATTCCAAGGCCAACGCACACGAAAAATAATAGACCTAAGTAAAAATTGTCTTATAGTTTGCAATCGACGTGTATCACGTAAATCACGCCCGGGGAAATTTTCGATTTTCATAATAGTTTTATAGATTAGATTACGGTTAAATTTCTACCCGCTCGAAAAAAAATATATTTGTGTATTGTAATTTTAAAAACGTCTTAAATCCGTTAAGGGTTATGATTGTTATGAACAAATGCACGTCACATTTGAAATTTATACGGCCTAATTCGACGTTTATTTATTTATTCGAGATATGTATACTAATAACCAATCTAAGTGTCTATAAACATCGATTATTATTATTGATCGGGGAAACCTGAAAAAAGTCTGGTAAACGGTAATTTGTACGGTTTTTGATTAAGATTTTATTCTCTTGTTATATTTCATTGAAAAGTATTCCTAGTGACTTGAAATTTTTTTTGAGGACTTTATTGTAAACATCTGATTTCGTTTTTATCTTTTAATTAATTTGTTAAAAATTCAAATATAGCTCAAGTAAACGGTAGTTGTATTTAACTAGAACCACCAGAGTGGGTTATACGTAAATTGTCGGATCAGCCAATGTGCTGTTATAGCCTTCGACGAGTGAATACTTAATGTTATTGCAGATGTTGATACCTATAACGAATAGAATAGTATCGAATTGAAAATGATTTAAAGGACGTGATGATTTCTGGTCTCTGTATATAGGCACAGGTGATGTAGAAAATTATTGTTATAATAATTAAAGATTGAGGACTATAGCGAGGATAGCCAACCAAAATTATAAAACCATGAAGAGAGTGGCGTGGTCAGAAAGCAAAGACAAGAGTATAACGTTAGTTGTTTAAGGAATTTTTAAGAAACAAATATTTTATTATATAGGAAGTATTTTTGAATTTGTTTATTTTTTTAAAATTTATTTCACTCGAAATCCGCGAAGGCGGCACGAGAAAAAAACACGTCCTCTGCAACATCATCACTTCACTGCTATAACAAGTTTATTCGAATGCGTCATCCTTGTGTTGCGTTCACTACCGGTATCAGAAAAAAAAAAAAAGCATATTTAAGTACTTAACTGCGCACACGAACAAAATAATTGTCAAGACGCGATGTTATTTGAATTGTTGACGAAAAACAAACTTCTTCGTTACGGAAAAAAACGATTTATGTTTAAATAAATGTTCCTCGTTCTACTTTGCAAGGTATAAAAAACAAATCACTCGTTACACGTTTCTATACAGTACTTTGTCGTTCGGAGAATGTCTTACTGTCCATATCGTACCTAATTAGAGAGTATATTGTGTAATATATACTTAAAAGATACTTAAAGGCAGACGCTTACGCAAGGGGATGTTTTGGATATTCAACACCCCCTTTCCCAAATGTTAGATTTATTTTTAAAAAAATCCGTTTAAATTTTCAAAAACTCGAAATTTTTTTGTGCGCAAACAAAAGTCTAGACCGGCTTGCTGGTTTGTACTATTCAGTTTGCGATAATTTGCGATCGAAACTAGCGTTTACGGAGCATGCAGGAGTCACCGGCCGTTTGTTCAACGCCGAAAGATCGAAAGTGTCGTATTGAGTTATAAATGAAAATGTTAAAAAATTGACCGCGCGTTTTGACCGGGCGAAAAAATGTCCGGTCGGGGGCCCGAATTCAAAGTGCCCGTAGTCTCGCCGGGCGCGTCCCTTGCAGGTGCCTAATTCTACTTACCAGTCGTAATATCGTTTTATTACGGTGTTGGTTGAAACCGACCGGGTACGCCGGCACACTAGACGACTATCGTACATTATCGCGTATGTATAAATATTATGATAACAGTGTTCACAAGACGCGATTCGTATCCAACCGCTACAGCCGCGCATAAAACAGTAATTATAAATATTTTAACGCCGGATTAATTTCGCGGGTACGCGCCGCGTCCGTACATTGTTTACGACACTCGCGAGCCTGCACGGTAATATTACGTACGGGTGAGAAAAGAAAAAAAAATGTCGAGACGAACGGACGCGTCTCGGAGCGAAAACGAATGCGAGCGGCGGCGGCGGCGGCGGCGGCGGCGGACCTGTTGCCACGGAGACGCGCGGCGCGCCCGTTATCGGCGGCGGCGGCGGCTTTATTATCATTATTATTATTGTTGTTACTATAGAGTATACCCGTACTCGCCGCCGATTTCGAGCCCGTAGTCCGATTCGAACGGCTCGTCGGGACGCACGGCGATTGTATTGTACGGAAAAAAAAAAAAAATAATATAAATATACACAATAATATTATTTATCAAATCTTGTGCGAGCGTGCGGCGTGCGTAATTTTCGTATTATTATTTCGCGCGTTCGGCTGAAAATAATAAAAACCAAGATTTTCTTGTTTTTTATTTTTTTTTTTTTTCATCATCTAAAACCGATCTCCACCTCCGTTTCTCGCGCCGACAACGGTTGCGCATTTTTAAGTAGACCGCGTACGACCGCAAAACTAATGATATTTTTCAAATAACTCTACAACCGTACACTCGGCTCGTATCGATTTTTATTATTTTTCTAAACAAAAAAACCCGACATTATTTTACCTACAATCACGGTACATACGATCGCGTGTATCAGATACCGTCTGCGTGAGCGTCGATCACTAAAGTACAGGCCACGCCACGACTCGTTTCCGCAAAATTCAATTTCATCCGGGTGGGCACCTGCCTGCGGATTATTGTAAACTAGGTAACTATCATACATTTTTTTTTTTTTTTATTCGGTATAATATTGAACTCTGGCCAAAAATAGACGGCACAGAGCGTACAATATCAGTCGCACGTCCTGCGTAATTATCGAACGACGGAATACTTACAAAACGCTAGATACAGCGAAAAAGACACGGATAATTACGTAATAAAAACCATGAAATATTTTACTTGAATATTTTTATTTTAATTTAATAATTTTAAGTTTTAATTATAGAAATAGCGTCGAATGTATAAGTTTATTGAATTAAATTGGGTTTAAGTTAAATTGCTTTTGTTTTATATTTTCATCGTCTTGGGAACAGCGTATACATTCGGAGATTATTAAATTTAAATGCATGGTGGTTGGGTTTCAAAATTGATTTGTGGCGGCTGAAGGAGCGTTGAACTTAGGACTAAGGATAATGGGGAATATTTCATCCTTGATCTATACAGATGATGAAAATTCAATATCCATTGATGTGTTTTCGTTTTTATTCAGAAGAATATTTTTAATATAATAACAGTTAGTGTCGATATTTCTGTGCAATTGAATAGGTATTATGAATATGCAAAATATTTACCAAATATTAGTATAATATATTGGTCAAATATTGAAAAATATGCATTTACATCGAAGTACATGGAAATACGTAAAGTATTATTTTATTCAGGGTGTTATGAAACGTGCTTATTTTTCAATCGAAATCGTGAAATCTGCATTCAATAAAACTATGAATTTACCTATACGTACAATTCCGCGCTCTATACATGAGTATCGGTAAAATGACGATAAAAATGATTACTTAAAAAAATCAATAATCCACTCGCGACTACCTACCTAGGTGTAACGACCTAATCTACATTATAATATTAAACAGACCGTCGACTCGTTATCAACGTATATAGATATTTATATTTATGTGATTCATTTTGTTTACGATGCGATACCGATTAACCGTCCGTGCACCTACTTTTAATTTTTTTTTTTTGTTTTAATACGCATATAACAAAATGTGCCCACCTCACTTTACTAAATAAACCGTAGTGGATTATTTTTTTGTCGGCGATTTCCCGTTCGACGTTCTCTAAAGGTTCCCCCTTTGGTTGTAATTTCAAATCCGAACGTTAGTAACAATATTTAACGCTTACTTGTACCGTGTAAATGCCAGGTTAGGTTGTGTGTCAGATCAGTGTGCTCGTGGTCAATTAATTTTGTATGTTCCATACACGAACGGCTTCACTTGACCTAAATAATTCTAACACACAGTATTATATTATTGTATAGCTAATGGATATATTATATCCTGTGCCTTGATGATTCTATTAAAAACTTGCCGTCGTCAGTATTCTGAAATCTGGCAAAAAAAAAACACATTTATTTCGAGTACATAAAATATTATTTGTTACATTAGATTCTGAGCGAATCGAGAAATGTATCGGTTTTACTATAATGTGTTATTTTACTATATCTGTAAATAACTTTACTACCAGAAATCTGGCTCCGATCAAACACTTCACAGGCATTTTCTAGTAGCATTTTTAATTTAGTCGGTGCGTTTTTAGAAAGATGTTTTTTTTTATTTTTATTGTTTTCTTTGTTACCTCGTTAACAAAATGGGAAAAATACGGCCGATAATACTCCGGTCAGAGTGGTTTCTCGTTTGCGACGGTTTATCGTTGCGTACATCGATGAATTAAATCACTTAATAAATCCAGATATCGTCCCTCGAACTTTCCTCCTAAAATAGCGAGTATACGTTTGCATTATCCATATTTTTTTTTAAAAAAGAATGCAGAATATCTCTAGGGCCTAGGTAACTAATTAATTAATAAATATATAAAGGTTTTTAATATAATATTAGTTTACCCTTGCAGTTGTATATACATATACGTTATGATATCGGATTCTTTTTTATAGATTAATAATTATAATTGGAAAATTATTATATTGAATTATATGTTTATATACCATATAAATATAATAATTTAATGAAAGTTAATGTTTTAGTTTTTTTTTTTTTTTTTTATGACTAATTTTCCTTGAATAAACTGCAGTATAATAATTGAGTATCCTTCAAGGATGAAATACCATATGGTTTGAAATATACCTATCTGTGATGCAGTCGATACGAAGTATTATACTTCCCTAATATAATTTTATTAGTTTATATCTTATTTATAATCCCACACACCTGATTCACCTAATTTAATTTGTCGGTTTTATAAACTGTTATATGATATCTGTGATCTCAAGGAAGAAGTGCTTGTCTATTTTTGATAATTTTTTTATTTTTATAATTTTGTCTAATGTTATTTTTCCCCTTTAATTTTAGGTCTAAATTGCCTAAGTGTAATGTATTTTTAAAATTAGTGTATGTCGTGCATTCATAGTTAAAATACATGTGTTTGTTTTTTCGAAATTAAATTTACTTGTACTGATAAGGATAACTATAAAAAATTAACTAAAGCCTTGCTTTTTTGGTAAAAAGATATAATATTTTTTTGGTAATAGTTCAGAAATATATATTGAAAAACTCGAATAACTACTTTTTTAAAAGCCATGAAACTTTTTGAATATTTTTCACTGTCTCCCCTTCCCCTCGTTTCTTCGAGACCACATTTCTGCTCAGAAATTTTAAGAAACAATATTATACACTACATATGTTTATGTGCATCGAGGTGAACGGGTTAAAATAAACTAGCATTATATTTTTTTAATCGTTTAACAATGCAATTGTCTTCCCTTTTTTTTTAGAATAATTTACTGTAGGAAACACATTTCCTTATTGTTGAATATATCATGTAGTCTTAATTTGCCGCTCTTTATTAGTCACGGTATTTGTACGTATACTGTTGTAAAAAAAAGTTACTTACGCTGCACTATAATCAAAATATTGTATTATAACGAAAACACAATATGTATATTTTTATTCTTACACCGATAAATATCAAACACGTAAACTGATTTCTTACATTTTAAAAGCGTTTTGCCCGACGTTATTTATTTGTTTTGTTGCATAAAATTATTGAAATAAACGTGTTTACTTAAAAAAAACTACACACACACGCAGTTGTGTATTCGACTTTTTTTTTTTAATTCCTAAAACGCTTCTCGATCGATATGATGACCGATCGTCCCGAGTGAACATGTTTCGTTATAATATATTAATATTATGTTACACGACAAAAATAACAAACCTTGGTGTGGCGCTCTCTTACAGCAGCAATATTATATTATTATACAGAATATTATTCATTTTAGGTATATATGTTTAGTGTGTACACAAACGAAAAAATATGACCGAGTATCTATAGTCATTCTTTGTATAATACGCGTCAATTATCCACAGAGTAAACTAGTTTTAAATTCCTTATGCAGCATCGCATAGGTATGCTTTTAGTGAATCTGTATAATATATTATTAGGCTAAGGGACTTCCATCTCTAAAAGAACATAAAAATATGCATTAAAATATGTTCTAAAAAAATTGTTGAGTAAAATCGTTTATTGACATTGTATACTAAAAACTTGAAACTATTTACAACTTATTTATATATATATATGTGTATTTTTTGTATTATCACTAATGGTATTTACGTGAAAACTTTGTATTTTGAGATGAATAATTTGAGAGTTATTGATCAAATTCCTTGTCTGTTAACTACATCAATTATTATTTTACGACAGTCCATTCGACCATGCTATCGCACATTAGTGCGTATAAATTTTAACAATATGTAAATCGAAAAACATGACCTTTAATCGGATAAGATTATATAAGCACTTAATAATTATATAAGTATTTAGCACTTAAAAGCTACACGCTTCTAAAATATGCTCTAGAAAAAAAAAAAATGTCAAACACGTAAATGTATGCAAAATAAAATGTAAGATTTAGATTTTTTACACGATGAACAATATTTATGTTTGACTCTACTAATTGTTTAATCCCTCTTTAAAATATAATACGCAAACGATGCTGGAAGTCTCTAATTCTATATATGTATTATATAGTTTCTAAACCTATTATCACGTTTACACGGAATCGTTACTGCATATTAAGTTAAAATTGCATATAAACACAAGTTTAACGCCCATAACGTTAATACATAATATGAAAATAGGTAGTACCACTGCAGGGCGCCCTTCTTCATCGTACGTCTTTTTCATGCTTTTATTTTATTTTATTTTCATTCACTATCGTCACTTTTACTTGTTATGTACACAATAAGTATTATTTGTATTTATTTCATATTATTTGTACAGTTGTAAATTTCTTTCGCTCAGATAATAAAAAATTAAAAATTTTAACTCGTTTTAAAATATTTAATACGTTTGTCAAATCGAATTAAACTCTAAATCAAGTATTGAGAAATACGACGTGTAAACGATAAGTGAGCTAGTATTTATGGCAAGAATTTAATAAAAAAATTATGTATTTGAATTAATGTATAGTTTATATTATTTGAGTTTGATCCCAATATTTGAGATTATATATAAACTCGCACAGGTGAACCAGGTACCTAACCTAACTAAAGATTTTTACTGCGCATTAAAGACTTTATATAAACTTAGTATGTGTAATGTACCTAATGTTTGTTATTAATCGGTAAAGAAAATGACGATTTATATGCTACACCAACCAATAATATGCGCGTCACGTCGTCACCTATAACTAGATATAGGTATACTAATATTCTATTCGTTTCAGAAAAACAAAAATAGCTCGTATACCGTAATAATTACGTGGCATAAACATATAGATCGCCAGTAATATATGTATACAATAATATTTTGTTGATAAAACACATAATTTAAGTCATTTTTTTTTTTTTTTTAGGCAAAAATCATCGTAAAAAATGAACGTATATTTTCACATAGTAATAATATTAATAAATATACGTTTTCTGACAGTTAAACTCATTTTTACGACGGTTTTTTTTATATATTTTTTAGATATTTGCAAATGTTTTGTTACCTACTTAATAGTAGGTAACCCATTATATTCCTTGTTCGGATTTAAGATAAATTTTTATACAAACGTGTGCGTCAAATGTCCTTGAATCTGTAGGTATAATTTTTGTTTTAGTTTTTTAATCTAATAGGCACTATAATAAAATACACAAGAGGGAGCGTCGTCACTAAAATGTGTTGGCTCTATCTCGTGTGTATAATATAGCAACAAAGGTATTCCGTATTTGTACGTATGCGACTCTTTTGTTGAGTTTAGTACAAGGGACTTAGTGTATATTTCATAAATAACCGTATTTACTATGGATCACACGAATGATTTTGTTTAATTTTTATTTTTTATCAAGTTTGAACTTAATTTCTCTTATTTCAACCATTAAAACTATAAAGAAACGAACATATAAAAATATAATTATTTGTAGGATCCATAATAAAAATACTCTTCTTTATAAAATGTATAATGGGTCCCTTGTCCTAAACTCAACCAGAGAGTCACAATCGTAGAAATTCAAATTACCTCTGTTTCTATATTAAGCGCGAAATAGACAAAGAGAATATATTACGGTAACGAACGAGACCCCTTAATGCAATTTAAACGGTTTTCAAATAATAGTTCCAGTGGTGGATCCAGACCTTAATTTAGATATCATTTATGACAATGAAAGTTGCTGTCTATTTCACTACAATACAAAAAAAAGCATACTATACTATGGAGTTTGGGAAGGTCAAATCACCCTATCACCCTGTTGCCCTGGACCACCACGGATTAGTTTTGTTCATTTTTTATCTCTACGTGTATGATCTCTTACAAACAAATTTCTTCTTTCCACTTAACCACTTTATCGTGCCCTTATATTATAACCCGAAATTATGAAAGAATAACTTATTATATACATACTTTTGAAAAGTGGTATAGTTGATATGTCGGGGAATTTTTGATAACTTTTGATTTTTAATTTGCTATTCGGTTGAAAAATAATTAAGTATTAAATATGTCAAAAATATTGAAAAATCGCCCAAAAAGTCATTGAATATCTCGTTTTTCTTCTTCAGGTTATTCTCAATTATTCAATTATGAATCATCTATAATTTGTATTCGATAAATTCAGTTAGAAAATTAAATCTAATATTATTATACGGATATGCTGCAATAAAAATGCTCACATCACGAGCACACTAAAAGGATTACACATTGGAAAGTTTACTTTAGTGTATATTATTCGGTACCTATAAAAATATAATGTATTTAAATCTATCAAGTTCATACAATAAAGCTTAGATAAATCGAAAGATACCTATGTACCTTGAAATGGATGCATACAATGTAAAATAAAATATCAAAATTGTGCATAATCGCATCAATAAGGTTCGATCGAATGTTAATTAAATATTTCAAATAAATTAAAATACTCAGTATATGGTACCTATGAGTTGTTCACGTCGAGAATTTCATTGTTTTCCGTTAAACGATATCGATATACGAACATGTACAAAACGTTGGTCTATTGTTACCGTTTAACAATCCGTAAATATTGATGGTGTATATCGTACAATTAGAATATACTGATAGTTGTAATTTTTTTTTCTGATGTTTCTGTACGCTTCAAAGAATTTAATCTACACAAGGTCGATCGAATAGTTTTTGATTCGCTATGCAATCAATAATATTATTTAAAGAATATCCAAAACACGAACGGTTTTTTTTTTTTTTTAGAATTATGGAAATATTATTCTTGTTCATATACACAAACTTGTATTTTTTAAATTTATCTCAGTGTATTTTATTCAATTTATTCAAACGAACGCCAAATGAATGATGATTCATGATTCGTCATTCAATAACGAATCAAAATTCTAATCGATATTATAATTATCTATATGATATGAATTGTTGATAAAATATTGTACAGATTAAACACGCGCCTAATGTATGAAACGTATTTGCTTGAACCATCAGACCCGATGATGATAATATTTCAACATAAACATTATAAACCGAAATCGAAAAATATTATACAAGACTATATAAAAACCTAACTCCTACTCCTAAAATTTCGTAACCAGTTTTACACGGAAACCGTAATAATATATTTTCTTTTTTTTAATATTTGCATATTATATTATATTGTAATATTTATATCGGCAGTAGACAATTAAAAGCAAGAGTTTAATATTAAAAATAATATAAAAAAAAAAAAAACTATAATTCGCTAAATCGCCAGTCGATTTTTCATAATGTCGCGAAGAAGATGATGACTACAAGGTGTTCAGTATTATATTGTTGGCGTTCGGCATTACATAATAAAATCAAATATAAACCACAATTCGTAGCTACCTACGTAGTCATAATATTGTCTCAGCGCCTACCAGTTGTAGAGATTGTAAACTAATAGTTATTAAATTCTCTACGGTATTTTGCAATTTACACAAATAATCCCTATAAATTGTATCCACCGTATCTTCTACAGATCAATACAGATCAACAGATATTTTAGAATTATAGCGATGAATTTACTATTTTTCTTCTGAATTATTTCATATTTTATTCGTACTTCAAATTGAAAAATATGTATTATTATATTTGAAAAATTTGGATAACGCGCAATAATGTGTTATTGAAATTCGATTTTTGTGCAAACCGCTCAAACGTTTACAATAACTATATATGATAATGCTCGAATTATGAACTGTTTAAATCCGAGACGTTCGAGGACGTTTTCGAATAATTGTATTCGATGTTAATACTTCGATCCTTATATATAATAATAATAATAAAAAAAAATAATACGAATTATAACTTGGGTTTTTTTCTGATACAAGTACCAACTCGATAGGAACTGTTCAACAGCTTCTGCGTATTACTGTATATACTGGTTATTGGCGGTAATCTATGAATTTGATCAGGTTCGATGGAGATATTAAAACGCATTTTACTAAACGTCTGTGTACCTCAATACTGTAATGACAGTGTTGATCGCCGCAAGAGACCTTGTAATAATTATTACAAACATGGACTTTTCGGAGGCATATTAAAAAAAAAAAAAAAAAAAAAAAAAAAAACAACCGAATGTAAACACCCCATGCATTTCGTCAAAGTCATATTTTCGGCTTACTACTACTGCAGTGACCAACTATAGTGCCGACATAGATGTATAGACATCTGATATAGTGATATATATATACGTGTCAAGGATCATACAAAACGTACGTTTGACGATATCCTTTATTAGAGGTTATTTTCGCCAATTATTTTATGAACGATAATGTCATACGCGCACCCGTATATTGTAGATTTTCGTACGATGGCGCGGAACGCTACAACAATAGCACGTGTGGTTTGTCTATTAGTCGACGAGTCCATTATTGTTTTGTTTTTTCTAAAACTATAGTCGACCGATTTCGCTGAAAATTTCGGCGATTCACGATTCCGCATACACCTTTACACAACACAATTCGGCACAAAACTAATTTGTGACGTTGCCGATTGTATTTTAAAAATATTATTTTGGTTTTAACCCAAATTCTAGATTATCTACAGTACAGATTATAGTCTACGCTCAACAATGCACGTTTTATCTGGACTCATCAGTTACCCGTACGATTACGTCCGTCGCGTATTACGCGATATTTTGTGTTTTACTCTTTATAAATGTTGTTCCGTGCGAGTTTGTAAATTGAAATGAACAATTCAGAAATTCGAATTATCGTGTCAGAGAAAAATAAAGAATTAGCTGTTGCTAATGGTTATAAACATAGCTTTGTCGGTGTTCGTAAACGCGATCAACTTTTCAAGTGGCGCTGCTCTTCTGACAAAAATTGCACCGCGTTTATTTTATAATTTTTGACTCATTTTAATTATTTATTATAAGGGAAAAATTGAAATTATTTAATTTTTATTTTTTTATTTATTTATTTATATATTATTATATATATTTTTTTACCATAAATGACGACGTCGCAACAATTTTTATACGGAATCAGGTAGGTAAAAAGGTATATTGTGCGGAATCTCGTGTCGCCCGAAAATTTCACAGTCTGTTCATATAGTAGTTCCGGAGTTCCTTTAGAGAGCGCACGTTTGAATGGGAAATCCGATCCCATATATTCGTATGGGATAACGTCGTAATAACGCATTTTTCCTAAGAGCACCTTTTTTTTCGTTGTTGTTTATTATCGGTGTCCATCGATTACACGGGGAACCATTTTCATTAGGTGTAATAATCAATTTGTTTCACGGGAAGAAATGTCTTACTTTTTTTTTTTTTTTTAGTTCATTACCCATACGTGCAAGCGCAAAGCTGGTTAATCAACAGTTAGTTCAATATATAATATTACCGTCGATTCGTTAATTTGCGTATTTAAATGTATTGGTTTTACTACAGTGTTTTTATTTTTACGTAAATATATAGATTACATTTCTCTGTAAATCCTTCCTTCTCACTTCCCCGCTAAGACAAGTGGCATACCCGTCAGTAGTATCGATTCTTTTTTTTTTTTGATTTGACCGCAACGAACTATTGTTTACACTACGGTTGACGACCCGCGACACGTGGGCATGATATGTTTTTTTCGATAACACAGTGCAATATTATAATTTACAATGTATGATAGCGGCTCTAATGAGGTCACGGGCTTCGTGTTTTAGGACGCTGAATATAAATATGCGAGTATACTCGTATATTATTATGCAGACTAATAAAAAACGAATAAAATATATAGGAAATACACCAGTTTCGAGATTTATCCGCGTATAAAACATTATCCATAGTTACATAGTTGGTATATCCTTGATCGGCGATAGTCGACGAGCTTGCCACGCGTCTCTACTTCCATATTAAAATCGTTTCAAACATTTTAAATGTTTAAATATATACTTTATATATAATATACTATATAATAATCACTATACTGCGCTATTATTAGAGAAATAGCAGAATTTTAATTCAAAAACGATTATGTACTATAACTTAAAATTACCGTTACATACATTACCGTTATCGTGGCCTTACAATCGTATAGTATACAAATTAATCGGAAATTTGACTCGGGTGGATATGAATATCATTTTTATTGATATATTTACACGGTCTTTTGATTTGATGGTTTGCAGAAATTCGAACATATGTTAACTTTGTTATTTGCTCTCATTGTTTAAAAAAATAAAATAAAACAACACGGTTAGATTGGGTTAGATCCATGCATAACAAGTAGAGGTCTCAATTGAAACGTGAGAAAGATAATAAGTACGCGAAAACGGAGTCCGTGTACACGTAAATGTAAAATTTGTACTCACGTACCTACACGATTTTATAGATTCGAATATTAATTTCACGCGAAATACGTGAATATACGTGTACGCGTGAAATAGGGAGTTCTAATAATAACATTTTGTTCACAATTATTAAAAGTAACACGATTTATAGATTAATAGAAATTAAATGTCTCGTTCAGAAAAAGAAAACAGATGCAATATTATTCATGTTTACGTAATGGCGTAAAAAAGCAATGCTATATCTACAGGTTTAAGTGAAATACAGGTTAATATTAATGGGATTTTTAATTCAATTTTACATGTAGTAAATATTTTACTGGTTAAATTTGTTATGTACATATTACATTGCAGCTGAATAACCCACCGAATTTCCAGGGTTCCTTTCATAAACAGAAATCGATAAAAGACATTCGATTAAACGTGTCTCTTCGTTTCCGACTTTATCCCTATCATAGCCAATCGTCATCCGATAATTAATTTTTTAAAAGGGTATTTCCATGACTGTGACGGACAAATTAAATAATAATAACCGATTTTTCATCCGTGTCGCCAAGGTAACTCATAGATCAACAACAAAAAAAAAAAAAATCAATTTTCGAAACGAAAAATACCAAAGACCCTATGTCAGCAGCCCTTTATGTATTGGATTTCGAGATACAAAGTAGAAAACGATCTTTTTTTTTTTTTTTTGAATGTCAGGCGTGCAAATTTGCATCTAAACCGGAATGAAACCGTAGATTTTTACAATAGAAAAAACCAGTCAGCAAATATATACAGATATAGATTTCAATTTTATATGTTTATTGCTTATATATAATATAATGGTAATTCAACACAGTATTTTATCCTGCAATACACAAATTAATCTTACGTGGGTATATAAATTGTTCTTGAAAACCGCATACACTAACTACTTATTATCATAATATCGAATTCCTATCGCAATAAAAAATACATTTTCAATGCAATAAAAAAAAAAAATCTTTGTATTATATAAATATATTATTAAAGGAATGCTTGAGAAAAAAGCAAAAAGTAAAAATGCATTTTATATACTACATATATGACTTGTTTATTCAAGGTTGGTCTAAAAATATAATAGGGTAGTAAATCGTTTCCGGATGACCGTGAAATTTCAGAACTGTGATTTCCACAAGTTACGTATTAAATTTTATAAAAATAGTGTTACAAAATCCGTTCAAATGAGTAGGTTTAGGTTTTCTAAAGTCCAAAAAAAAAAATAAAAAAAAAATGAACAAATACCTATTGTAAAACAATATTATAATAAACGAAACAGAAAATAACGAAATTGACTAAATCAAAAATCTATAGCACAATAATATTATTTGTTAAGCAGTGGCAAATTCAGGAAAGGTGATATGAGTGATATTCCACCATGGCCCCACTCCCAAAAAAAAAAAAAAACACTTTGATATAGTATGATTTTTTTCTCTTGTATTGTGGTCAAATATATTCCAAGTTGTATTGTTATAAATGGGTTCCCCTCCAATAATTAAGGTCTTGATCCACCACTGTTGTTAAATCTAATAGAAAATCTGTGTAAATTCAATTTATTTAAAATTGTATTTTTCTTAGTATACAAATTTCGGGTCATAGGTCACTTATGGCACCTACTTCGTGATGCAATATGTGTGTAAACGATAAGAATCTACAATAGCGTGTTAAACCTAAATACGAGTTCAAGGGCCCGAGAATTTGTTTCAGGTTCGACCGGAACACTGCTATATAATATGGTAAACTGATAATAATAGAGATAAGAATAACCTTCATACTGAAATGTTGTATAAAAATTAATTCTATGTATTCAAAGTTGACAACACGCCGTTTATGTCTGTATAATCCAAAACAGTTTATAAATAATACGTTTCGTTCGTCTATTATAGTACCGTAGCAATTCATTTAAAACGGCTGAAATGTCGATAAAATTAAAATTAACTATTTTAACACTTTCCATAGGTACCTATTTAATATTGTAGGCTATTTATTTAATGGTTCTGATGTATCGATATATTGGTATCACCATGATCATATTATAGTCACTATACCCAATGTAACATGGAAACTGATCGTATTTCATTTTTGATAGTAATTTCATCTGAATATCCTATTTCTTAAACAAATATCGTGTTTTTCCATCTTCAAATAATCCAAACTGAAAAAAAAAAATATAAATATGCAAACAAATTGCATTTTCACAAGAACATTTACCATATATTATAAAGTACGTTTATGATTCATTCACCTTGGTACCCAGCTAGTAATTATACTCCCCGCCACTCAATATCCGAATAAAATTATTTGTCAATTTAAATAATTTGTTTGTATTATTGTGATTTTACATTCACTCCAAAGCTCAGCTATAGTCACTCGAGCGAATGTTTAGATAATCAATTTAAAATATAGTATAGGACCTTTACCTTTATCTATTAAAGAGAAAGGGAGAATAAACTAAGAATAAATCGATTGAATTTTTTTTCTCGACGTGTTGAACAAATAAATTTCAAATTAAATTGTTACATTCTGAGAGTACATATGTTTAAATTAAATTACCCTATTTATCTTACCTTCACAACTTCCTACCTAAAGACTACAACAGTGGTACACCTACGGTGCAAAGAACAAAACAAACTAATAATAAGCTTTTTAAAAATACAAAAATAATTATCACCTAATCTAACCTATACACATTGACAATAATAAGAAGTAGGTATAGCATAATACAAGTGTCATGGAAAACGTGTAGTGGTTTATACGAAATATAGCAATGAACCTTTCTCTAAAGTCATCATAATATTTTATCAATCTGATAATTTTTTTTTTTCAACTAAATTGATTATACACTTACGTTATTAAATTTAATAATTATATCAGAATAAATACATTATAATATCTATTAGTTGTTACTCAATTGTTCAAACAGTATAACATGTATCCCAAAGGCAAACATAGACAAAATCTGCAAAATTATGCACAAATTAATATCTTATCTTATTAACTATCTTGTAAGTTAATACGATGAAGCCTAAGTGAAATTTAGTTGTCTATTGTTAAATTTTACGTAAGATGTTTTACAAAAAACCATAATATCCGATTGTATTATACCATAATGACTGAACCGTTCAGTTTTTCCCATATTTATGAATACATTATCGTAATTTTTTTTTTCGCTTTCTCTTATTATCTACACTTAATTTGTATATACGTACTATAATATGACCACATGTTATTTGGACTTGCTCTGTAAATAAATAAATAAATAAATCAATACTAACTAAATATGTAGGTACATATAGATATTATTATTGTAATTAATTGATACACGTTTAACCTTGGGTCCATATCCATATAAAATAATATTTATGTTACCTACACTGAATTAATATGATGTTATACATACAAATTAATATTAGATTACGTTAATCCTTTTCGGATTTATTTATAATTATTAATGTAGTTAACTTTATTTAACCGGATAATTACTAATAGACGATAGGTACCTGTAGTCCTTATTAGAAGTAAAATTATACTATAATCGTATAATTCGTTGAGTTCGATCTAATATCTAATCTCTGAATAAAAAAATAAAAAATATATTTTCTAACAAATAAATACCTACTGCAGTTGTCTTCAAAATGAGGATTTAGATGAAATATTTTATTACTCGCCGGACAATATAGGTATTAGCAACCAATTTGACTCCTGAAGTATGCAGTCATTATCTCAGTTATTTTTCTCATTATACTCATACGCCAGTGCAGGTCATATCCAGAGTTATTTTGTCCCCACTTTTGTGTAACAATATTCAATTTAATACACAATTTGATGAATATTATTAATTTTATATCAATAATATCGGAAGCATTTAACAATGTACATTACCACCTATAAAACACGTATGAAATATTATTATTCCTATATCAGTATTCAAAATACACGGGTAAAGATAATATTATATTAATTATAGGCATAAAAAAGTGTTTAGTCATGCGCGATCGTTTGATTTCCTATACGAGCTTATTAAATTATAACGCTTAAAAAGTCAATAACCCACATTACCTAACGACCTACATATCTAACAAACAAAACATAGAAAACTAAGATATTAAGACAAATAATTTCGTTCGAGCGGTTACCTTGTTATTGTTATTATTGAATTTCGACAGTTTTATCGTATTATCGTAGAAATTACGCGCCACCGTATAAACCGCACATTTAGGAGTCTCCGGAGCTCTTGAATTCGCTTAAATAGCCGCCGTCGTATTTAACACGTACTAGTCGTTAAAAAAAATTTCAAATAATCGTCAGCCAGTTTTATAATGAAACGGTATTAGCACATTGCGGTACTACTCCGGTCACTAGACTATCAATACTCCGTTCACAATAATAATAATAATTGCAATGCGTTTTAGCAGCTATATATTATAATATGTACAACCAATAAAAAAATGTGTATTATTTTGGTACCACTCGTTCTTGACACCAACCCCATTTCACACTCCCTCACCAAGTCAATCTACGTCCGACCAACCGAAATAATAATTTCGTGTTACCATTCGAATAAAATGTGCCATAAGTACCTATATAAATTCCAGCCGTTTAATGCACTGCAATCGTTCGCTAAATCGCTTTACATATCGCGTCCGAGTTTGGAATTATTCCAAATTATGGAATCATGGAACCTTTCGTAATAATATTATTCAGCACACGCAGCCTTAGGAACATATAATACGTAAAAAAAATAAAAAAAAAAAAATAGAGTATGTATACGAAACATCATATATTCGAATTTATACGTTATATTGTTGCGTTACACAAACATACTGATAGGTAGGTATAGGTAATAATTATGCGAGCGAACGAACGAAATTACGCGCAACTCGCCGTCATCGACCTAATAATAATATCGTATCGGTTTATTATTATCAGTCTGTAAATTATTATTTTTTTATTCATATTTTCGAACGAGTATAGCCACTGAACCGTGAGCACTTACTCATGTACCTATAACCCATACAACCTAAACGCACATGCATACTACGAGTATCGGAGTATATTGGCGTTTAATATTAGGTATTTTTTATAGGATTATAAATTTCGCATTGTGCACGTCTGCGCAATATACTAAGTTGGTTTGTGTTCAAACAGTCATCACAGGGGTCATACATAACGAAGATAACGTCTTACTATCACGTTTTGATAAGAAAAAAAAACACAGTATAATTGTTTAAATATATACAAAATATTATGATAATATTATATAAAAATAGGTACCGGGTTTGGTTAGTGTATAGTATACTTAACACATTGCAACCTACGCATCCTATATAGTATATATTATATATACTTTTCGATTTCGATTTTTTTTTTCTTTTCGTCGTTATTACTATCGCCGTTGCACACATTCGCCCGTAATAATAATATAATATAAAATCGCTTAATATTCGCATGACCCACATAAAATAACATAATCTACTGCGGCGGTTTCCTGATACGAGGCAGATCTTGGATGCAGGTCGACGTACCTATATTGTAGCCGCAACTGATGTAACACACGCACACACACACACGCACACACACACACACACACACACACACGCACACGCTAATGCTACCTAACTATAGCCAAGTTTGCGTATAGTTTAAGTTTTTGTATATATGTGTGTATAGCCGATGTGTTATAGGTTAGGTACAGTGCGCGCAGCCGGTCAGACTGGTGATCCGAGTTGGTTATGCGTGTAACAAAAAAAATAATAAAAATTTTTAAAACGATTTTACTTGTTTTATTATTTATTTTTTATTTTTATTTCACGGGCTATAAGTCACGTTCTGCGGCCGCGCGCGTACGTACCTACCTATATTATGATGCGGGACCGCAAGAAAAAGAAATTATAATATAGGTAGGTACCTATACTTATACTTTTCGTGTACGAGAGTAGTTGTGTTTACCGGTTAGCGACAGACTTCGTACATACTTACCTACGAAAAATACGCGGAGAACGTTCGGAATACCCCCCCCCCCCCCCCCCCCCCCNCCCCCCCCGTCCCCCCACAATAATATGTGATATGTGCGCTGTGACCGTCGTAGAGCGAACTGAAATATAGACGAAAAAAAAAAATAAATAAATAAATAATGATAGTAAAAAACATATACTTAATTTTACAACTATTATACTAGACTCTTATCGGATCGCGGGGAGCTGTTGGGCAACGCGGACGATATTATACGCGGTCGTAGCTCGCGGAATAAACGCGGCCAAGTGATAGTGAAAGTGCTACTATACCTAATCATAATAATAATAATATAATACGCGACCGTTAACCGTGCGGCATCTCCGAGTCCTCCGACCATCATAATATTATGTTATGACGTGTACGTGTTTTTTTTTTTTAATTTTATCAATTTTTGTAACTCGCGCAGATTATAGGCGCAGGTAAATTAATAATAATTATTACTCGCTTATACGGTACCAATAGCGCTGCCGCGCCGTCAGCCAAAACTCCTTTATACGCTACATACCCGCTATAACGGATTACTATTAATATTAATCCCACCGCTCGAATGTCAAATTATAATGAAAAAAAAAAACAAACATTTTCACGATTTTGTCATGATTAGCGGTTATTCGACGGTTAGGCGAAATATTATATTTAAATACAGCGTGTCTAAAAGCGCGTATAATATTATACTCTATATAGGTACCTGATCTATAATGATATATACTATAAAGTCACCTAAAAAAAAAAAAAAATGGTTAAAAATATATATTTTCAACAAACTTTTAGACAAATGTTATCACATATTATGTGTTATTTTACTGTAATCTAATAAAATAATAAACAAATATTTTAGGCTTGAAAAATAGAGAGTAGTACTTGGGGAATGGGACTATGTTTAAGTAGAAGTAATACAGAGTATGAGTTTGGAGGAACGGGACAATGACAGATAACGATAATAAGCAGTTGTAGGCGAGATTAAGAGTTTTATGTACCTAGAATCTTTTGTACAAAAGAACGATGGCTGCGAAACATAAGATTACGTGTTGTCGGATAAATTGGATAGAAGTATCAGGTATTTTATGTTTCACGTGACAAAGGAATTTTAGTTAAGTTAAGTTCCACAGAAGTGTATTAAGACGACTATGTTGTATGGTTCGGAGTGTTGAGCGGTAGACAGAAAAATATAACAGAGAATATGTGTAGCAGAGATAATGCTTAGGCGGACGAGTGGAGTGACGAGAGAAAATAGGATAAGGGATGGGTACATTAGAGGTGGCTTAGGCATGGCTTCGATAGTAGATAAAATGAAAGGAAATAAACATCTCAATTTATTTGTTTGCTCAAATTATTTCATGTTAAGCATATCACGGGGAAAAAAGGATCAGTATGCTGAAGCATTGTACTAAAAATAAACTCAGGAGGAAATAGGTAGAGAGTAAAACTGAAAAATAAATGGTTGGATGTGATTGAGAATGATATGTAATGTATGTGAGGTGGAATATCTGGTCAGTTGGAATTTTAGAACAAGAGTGGCTAACCTCAGTTAGGATTAAGGCGATAGAGAAGAATAAATAGAATTTTACCAAATAATTTGTTTTCGGTGAGTCAGTCATCAAATGTTTCACTTTAACCAGTCAATTTTTTTAACCAACTTTAAATGGTAGATAATTTATGAGATATAAAACAATTTTCTAAAAAAAAATAGAACAAAATGTAATAAAAAAGAGAAAATAGAGATAGAAAAATGTATTTTTTATTTTCGAAAATAGATTCTTAAAAAAAAAAAAAATTGCTATTTAAAAAAGTAATTATATTGCGCAACGGTCCTAAAATTGATTTATCCTAAAGTATGTATTTCAATACCCCTTATTACCGTCTAAAAACGAAATTCAAGGTCGTCAGGCCGAAATATTTAGTGTCACTTGAGAACGTGAAAACACTGTTTATTATAGGTACCTACTGCAGAGAAGAAACCTGTTGGGACTCATTATTATTATTATTATTATTTTTTAATAAATTTACTTAATATTATTATTACTCTATAATAAAAATAGTATGAAATTCTCGGGATATTTTTGTCGTAATGAGAAACAAACTTAACTGCAATAATTTAGAATATAGTTAGTATAGTAGCTGCAGGTAACCTAAATAATAATAATATAATTAATGCAATTATGATGTGTGGGTACATATTTAAAAAAAAAAAATTGTACGATTAATGTCAAAGTATTATGGCGTGTGAACGCGTAATAACCCTACAGATAAGTATACTTACTTGGTAGTTAATTAGTTACTAAGTTACCTTTACTATAGATGGGTAGCGCATTTCTTTGTAGGATTTACATACCCGTTGTGCTGCAATATTAAATGTGAGGCGTGTTTTGGCAATATAGTTTTCGGTGAACGGTTGTTTTCTGTTGTTAAAGCTACTTGGCTGCAATGCCACCAAAACGATTTGTTTACTGTACAGTATTTTGCCAATGGTTAACCGAACCATATAACCGTAGACAGCGTAAACGTAGACAATCCGATTGTCAAAAAGATAATTTAATTGTCAAACAATTACAATGTGAAAAATATTACCAAAACAGTTTGTTGCTTAACCAGGTTTTTCAAAACAGCATCGTCAAAATACGTATTTTATAAAACATTTAAAACCATCATTGGTCCCCGTTACTAAGGGAGTCGATCGAGGGTATAGGTACACAGGAATTTTTTTTTTTTTTTTTTTATCGTCGAAACATGAAAAATAGTTCCACGGTGGTATTGCGTTGTGTTTTAACTATTGCAACAATACAATATACGATATTTTAGTTTATGAACAAGCATCAGAGTATCGGAACATTTGTGTTTGAAATTGTTCGATTTCGGTTAAGGTATATTGGGAAATACCGAAAAACGCGATTTTTAACCGGTTTTGAGTCCTGAATTAAGTATTTAACTTTGCACATTGATAACATAATAATAATGTGCTATATATATTTTAATTTTTTAAATAACTCCTATTATAATATTATTATAAAATTATGATAAAAAAAAAAAATATCACTCTTTTCACTTCGCTATTTGTATGAAAAATGTATTTTTATAATAGTTACTAAAACAAGTTTTGAATATATTATTCTACAGCAATGTACATTGTACAGGAAACTAACGTTCATTAGTCATAATAATAATTGCAAATCTAAATTTTTTTTTTTTTTTTTTTAAAGAGAAACATTTAATATTACTTATAATATGCATTACAGTAATCAGCAAGTAGATTTGTTTGTGCAGTAAATTAGTTATTCACTGAACCGAAACGAATTTTCTGAAAATATATTTTGTAAAATTATAAACTGAATACATAAAATATTCACTGCAGAGCGCATAAATCCGTGTATAAAAGTGATTACAATTGAATATATGTACTTACAAATACTGAAATATTTCTAGTAGATAAATTATTAATAATTAATTAGGTGCAAGTATTTTTTGATTATATACATTTTTACGGAATACCGCGGAGATTGGTAATGCGGGGAAATTCGTCTCAGTTCAAATGAATAACCGACTTACTGTAGGAACATATCCGCACTATTTATTATTAAAAGCATTGCATTTATTATGACTTATTTTTATTTTCGATACCACATTTTAATTAATAATGCATTCAAAACATGTTTTTATAACTGCCATGAAAATAAAATTATCAATTGGAGAAGTCAAAAGCGATTTATTTATTATTATTTTTTTGTAATCATACTTTTCGAATTGTTTGGTATTCTTGAAGAATGTACAATTTTGTAATTATTGTCTTGAGAATGGGAATTTCGCTGAAATTTTTACGTGTCCAATATTATAATAACAGAAATACTACAGTATGTGTTGGATGATTTTTAATGGTGTTTATTAATATACATTTTTATCTATTTCGATAGTATATTAAAAATGTGTTGATTCGCGTCAAGTTAAAAACAAAAACTCGTTACAATCATTAAATAAACAGACCTTCAGATTCTATATTGTATAATATTATTATAGGAAATCTTTAAACAAAAACACACCGAAATAAAAAGAAAAAAAAAAATAATGATTAATAAATATTTTACTTTTAAAAATATGCAGATTACAACATAACAATTGTGTTAATACTCATTATAAATATGAGTATTGGGTACTAACTATACATTTATAAAACTATACATAACTATACATTTTCAATTTCGTAAAAATATATAAAATTATGAACATAACATGCTTTAATGTTTCGATGACCGTTTTACATTTAAATAAAAATAATAATAATAACAATAATAATAATAATAATTGTAACGCATTAGAATACGTACCTATAGTTAAACTACTATATTATCTAAAAAATGCATGTTGTCCGGGCTATAAACTAAATGACCGTGATTCGACAGCGTATTGCATAAGTGAAAACGAGCTGAGGTCCTAAGTATGGGGATTTTGTCGCGTTTCCCGAGAGCGAATTCACAATCCGTATTATAATATAATACACAATATGTAAAACAATAATATACGTTTTTTTTCATTTAAAGTTAATACTTTACTAATAATAATTACAGACCTCGTGTTTGCCTTCAAATGTGAATTGCCCTGGTACCTATTAAAATAGGTAAACTGAATATACGTGAAGTGTGGTCGAATATTAGAAGGGAGTTTTATGTAGTGTCAAAATGTTCAAAATTATTCTGAAATACAACATAACATTTGTTAATAATTTGAATAATTATATATTAATAAATTTGTATGAGAAATAAATGACAGGTACATGAATATATAATATTAATGAATTCGGTTTAATTGAATAGATATAAATAATATTATAATAGGTAACTACGATTTTTTACTATTATCTACGTGAACTAGTTTATTTGTTTTTTTTTTTTTTTATGTATTACATTTTGGTGGTTATCACTTCTACGAGTAAATCGTAATAACTTTCCAAAAATAATCAAAAATTTACTCGAATCGGCAATTTAACTTCAATATATCATGTCAAGTGTTTATAAAAAAATGTTTTTACGCGACAAAAATTATTCTGATGGAAATGCATGGGATTGGATACCGATATTTTCTTTCTCTGTCTAATACACTTTAACAAACATTTAAACCGATTTTCCGCGGAAATCAGTCCGATTGAGGGAAGCGATAAGAATAATTCCGAAAACAGTTTTTAATTCAGTGTACACGAAACCGGTCCGGGCATAATTTTTTAAATTTAATTTTTGATTTTTTTTTTTTTTTAATATAATATATACTTGTACAGATTTTAAAATCTTCAAATCAAAACTGTGGAAACGAAATTCTAAAATTTGAAAAAACCGACCAATCTCGCGTGTACACTTCGCGCTGAATGAAAATCTGTTTTCAGAATTTTTATCGTTTCACTACACATAGATCGGACTGATTGCCGGAAAATATATCTATATCGTTACCCAGACTGCGTGTAATTATGCACCTATAGGTTCATTATTTTATAGTACAATTATTTTAGCGGCTCATTGTGATAATTATAGTGATAATCTTAACATTATCGTTATACCAGAATATATTATACATGTATAAATCAAAAATCAATTAAATTGACGTCTAGGTACAGTTGCGATATTACCATAAATTAATTACCTTCGTTCAATTATCGATAAATTAAAAACCCAGAGGGGGGAAATTGTCCCGTCTTGCCTTTTCCTCCCTCGAGATGCCCGCTATAGTGATACCGAATTTAAAAATAATTAAATGCCAGGACGCTAAACAATTTGATTTTATTTATTTATTTATACTGATAATATTTAAATACATTCTAACCTAACCTATACTGAAAATAAGTATAAACACAGGAATAAATTAGTCATGTCTGCGTATTAAGCTACCGAGAATAATTGACAGTTCATAAATAATGGACACACGTATTCAAATTATTTATTTTTAAATGTGTACGTCTGAATAATACATTAATAAATTATTATAGCAAGTTATTTTTAACTTCTGAGCGTTTGGTACCGTCGAGGTCAGGTAATGTTTAGAGCTCATTTTTTATGGCGTCCCTAAATATTCTCTGGTTTTTTATTTCAAAAGTAATAATCATTAAATGATAACGGAAGTAAAAACCGAAAATAACATTAAGCACCAATAAATACTCAAAATAAAGCACTGCCTGGGATAGCTGATAATATATTAATATATAAGTAGTGAGTATATGCAAATATTATATTGTGGTAGATACTAGGTTGACGCAGACCTAATGATCAAACCAAAGCTCAAATAATATCTAAAATTTTGTATTTATTTTATAGAATATAGCTATAAATTATTAATAAGTATAGTATAGTATACTATTTATAAGATCATTTGTTCTAATATTGTTTTAGTATAATATTTATTCAAGAGGATACTACACATGCATTTTGGTGTTTCCGTATTACAAATGCACGATATAGTTAAAACATGCTTACGCAGACTACACAGAACTCGCTTAATTTTTGTTTTAAAGTAAAAATAACTAAATCAAAAGAGACGAATATTCCGGAGGGCAAGTCGTTGCGTTTTTTTCTATTTTCTCGATTTTCTTCAATTTACCCTTTATAAATAACGAGTTTTTCAACGTTTTTTTAATTCACTAAAATTTTAAGAGAAAAAATAATTTTCCTCTTGTTCTTCAGAATATTATTCTCTATTAATTTCGTAATAGGTGCTTTTACTCTAAAACCAAAACCAAGCGAATTCTGTTTAGTCTGCGTAAGCATGTTTTTAATAATCTTCTGTTTGTAACACGGAAACAACAAATGCATGTGTAACGTCCTCTTAATACCTATTATATTATAATGTGTTTTTTTAATATTATACAGATTCAAGATATTAAATGTTAATTTTAATGTAAACATAAAAAAAATAAATTCAAATATCGTTAATAATAAACATATATAGTATACAGTTGAACACATTGCGTATACTATTTTACTATAATAATAAATTTTAAGTCGGTAACTTAAGATTTATTGTGTTTGAATAAAATATTTTGTTAATTTTTATTACTTACATTTAATTTAACACGGTTTTATCGATTAGTGTAAATCATATGAATGTACATACTATAACCAGTAGCTAGTAGGTATAGTGTAATCATGATGACTATAAATGTTAAATGAACGTTTTTATCGAACCAAATACCTTTACAATAATTTTTTTTTTTTGTCTGTTTGCATAGATTTATCGTGAAAAATGGATCCCTTGGACGATGTAGAAAATAGCAAACAGCATCATCATCTACTAAAAAGGCCGCCCGTCGACATCGAATTTTCCGATTTAACGTACAGTGTACCCCAAGGTCAAAATGGTGAGAATAAGCTTTAAAAATATATTATTATATAGAAACCTATATACCTATCTACCTATTGACCTTTATAACGATAATGTTGCCAATCGGTAACTATTTTAAAAAAATCTCCTTGTGAATAATGTCAACTAATATCATTATAAGTATAATAAGTAAATATAAAATAATATTCATCGCATGACAAGTTAAATATCTATGCATACACCCGTGACAATAATACAGTGCAATTATCGTAAATTAACTATCATCATAAAATATTATAAATACATAATAGATGATAATATTATACTCGTAACATATTTTAAAAAATTGGCACTTAACTCTTGTAATGATGAGTTTTTGATTAACGTTAACCTTGTCTCAGTAAATTTCAGGAAAATATCCATTAGATATCACTTATTAATTACTGCATGTTAATATTTTTACATAAATATAACCTATAAAAACATTATAATTATATTATCATTGATATTATTAGTTTTTGTTATGATGATCCATTATTATTATTACCATCACTGTTAATGAAACGGTGTGTATGATGGGAATAGAGAACTTAAAATATAACTTATCTTGAATTAGGTATTCCTGATGGTTTATGAGAAAAATAGGTAGTAGTATTTTTTTAAAATTTTTTTTTTAACAACCTATTATTACAAATTTAATAAAATAAACAACTAATACCTTAACTAATTAACAACCAACCTATTTAATAAATAGATACTTTAAAAAAAAAAAACCATAATTTGGACGGTAACTTCATACAGCAAAATAATTGGGTTACTTACACAATATTGATTATAATTATAAGACTGATTCGAGTTTGATATCATCTGCTATGGTAACCGACTTATCTATGGTACGTTGGTACCCTATTATTTAATTACCTATATTTTTTCTATAATTTCAAATTGAAATTAAAATCTACCCCAAATTATATCTATTTATAAATATACCTATCGAAAATAAAAAGAATACGCTAAAATCGTTACATTACAAATCGTTTACGCGATCACATATGCATGTAAGATATTTAGCGTTGAAGTTTTTTTTTTGAATATCAATTTATATTACCAATAGTAACTATTGGCCTATCTAGTAAAACTATCTGCCTATCTAACTATAGTTATTAATTTTGAAACTCGTGAACAAGCAGAATATTATAAACGATACCTGCCTGCCTGTACCAAACGGAATAAAGACAATTAATATAAATTGCCTAGTCCTTTCTCTTTCAGTCGGTTACCAAAAGGAAAGGTTTTGACATAATACTGTTCGTACACACTTATTAATAATATGCAGTATGACAAAAAAAAAAAACAATATAATAATAAATTAAAATGTAATATCTTTTTATTAATTTGAAAATAAAAGTCCATTCGAGGATTTTTTTTTTCTTTTGAATCTATTGCGTGGATTCGTATTTATTAACGCCTATACTAACGGCAATATTGACTCTTTGTTAACTTTCGTTAATTAAATTATATATAATATATAAATTAATATTATTAATCGGACCGCACGAATCTAGTTTTTTTTTTTTTCGATTTTATAGTTTTCAATTAAATTGTTTAAATATAAAACATCCTATTGTACCCGAAACAGAACGATGCATATTATAGGTATACGCGATTAGAAAACACATTTAAATTATTGTAACTTGCTTTGCGGATTCAATGTTGAGGTTTCACATGCATACATACATACATACATACATACATACATACATACATACATACATAAATATATATATATATATGCATAGTATTTGAACAAATTGCGAACGATACCTTCGGTTGTATAAAAAGGACGATGACCTCTTTAACGAAACTAGTTATCCGTTGCTAAATCGTATACAATATACAGTGTGAGCATTGAGTAAATGCCCCATAATAATATACGAGTACCTATACCTATACACACGCGTCATTATATTATATACGATGCAATATTCGTATGACGAAAACTAATGAGATTCGTTTTTAATACATTCGAATACCTATATATTTATTAAAACGTATACTGGGCAACCTATTTAATGTCCGTTAGTAAACTATATACAGTATACGAGTGTAGCTTGTAAAATATCATTCTAATGCAAAACTCCACTGTTTTATGTAGGCCTGTATAACTATTGTATAGATATACACTCGAAAAACCGATATGGATTAAAACCTGAACCTACTAAATTATAATACTACACACGTTCGTCGAAGAAAATTTTAATGTTTTATGTCGAATTGCTTTTTTATTATTATTATTATTATTATTATTATTTACTATTTCTAAAGGTGATTCGTCGGATATACAAAGGTCGCAATTAAGTGGCGATTTTATCGAATTAATTACACGTTACCTGTGTAATACATTATATTAGTAATTGAAGTCTAACTGTATTGTTTTTAGCGTGTTATTAATATTTTAGCTATAATGCATTATAGTTTGTTTAAATTTTAATGTTAAAGCTCGAAATGATATTCAATTACCAAACTTTTTCCGCCCGTTATCGTAGTATACAGTCACAAGTAAACATCCATGATAAATATGGGTATAAGTAGATGTCTGATTGAAATTCAAGTACAATAACATTAAGTTTATAAAGGGTTTTGTATTATACAATATTCTGAATACTTATAAAAAGTATTTCACCCGTGCCTTCCAATCACTAATATTTAAATACCTACACTTTCACAGGATCGAAGATTATTCTCCGGAGTGTAAGCGGCCTGTTCAGATCCGGCGAACTGACCGCGATTCTCGGGCCGTCCGGCGCCGGAAAAAGTACACTGATCAATTTGTTAGCCGGTTATAGGTTGGTATATTGCGTATTGAATCTGTTACGAATTATTTTACCGCTGTGTATGCCATTTTCTCAACACGTGTTTTGTGGTTTGCCCGCAGATGCGGCGACGCCGTGGGTTCCATCATGGTGAACAGTCGGCCGAGGGAGATGAAGACGTTCCGAAAAATGTGCCGGTACATAATGCAAGAAGATCTTTTACAACCGTCGCTCACGGTAATGGAGTCGATGGAAATAGCGGCGGATTTAAAACTCGGTTATACGATATCCAAAGAAGATAAAACCAACACGGTAATATAAATGACTGGTTTTGGCTTTCTTTGTTTGTAACACACATTCACCATGCAATTCAGATCGATTTTCTGGCGGTCGGTCCGATCGATGTTACGAACCCAAACGAATTTTGATAGCCTAGTTAAATTTAGTATGAATTGTGCTTGCATGCGATCGGTCTAGGGCAACTTTTTCGGTTTAACTCTATTTCTTTTATACATATATTTTCATAATTGTTTGCAAATTAACGACTAAGATTCAATAAAAGAAGTCTGGACCCTTAATCTAATAATTTTCGTGAAATAATGTACGCGTACTTCGCATACTTTTGGAAGAAGCGTACATGGCGTACTTGACTTTATCGTTGGTCTTTATTCTGAGAATTTCTTTTATAAAGGCATACTCCTTGGTTTGCTTTAGTGTTATTATTAGAGATATGAACTGATAACTTATATATAAATGAATTACTGCAACGTTTTTTTCAAACACGCGTTTGCTTACGCGAAAATTGTTCAGAAATTCTTCTTCTGATAACCGATGAACAGGTTGTTGACACGAATAAGCGCTCGTTCAATTCTTAATTGTCTACTATTTTCCCGACTTTCCCGTTCGTTGTAATTTGTAATGTTATACATTTATTTATTTTTGTATAAAAACACAATATTATTTAATTATTTAATAGAATAGAATATAATATACACAGTTTTATAATAATATATACAAATACGCTGAATATACCAAATACGTCATAAATGGTATACGTTGGGACGCTCGGATATTCTGGATCTAGATCTACACATAATAGACAAATAATGAAAATGAAAATCAGCGTTAAAATAAAAACATTTTGGTGGACATTTATTTCCGCCCCGTGGGCCGCTTATTGCCTACCCCTGATTTGTATACAATCTGAGACAAATAAAAATAAAAATACATTTCACCATACACCAACACGATAGAAATACCGTATTACCGGTTTTGAAAAATAATTAAATTATAATATGATGGTATAACCATTGAGATAGCAACTCGTTAAGATAATCATATCGAAAATATACACGAAAGTACGCACGAGTACGTCAAGTACGACACCTCCAGATATGTCGTAGTTGACGTATTTTAAGGTAAGCCAAGTACTTTGGCGCTTTCTTTTTACTAAATTCTCCTCTTATCGCGTATAGAAAAATCGATCGGGCTGAAAATGCCAGAAAATGTGTCTAAATCGCTATGCTGTTAATGGGTTGGAAAAATAATGAAAATATCGGTATATCCAATCCCCTTAATCAAACGGTAATATATCTTACTGTGGTCGTTATTCATTTCTATGATGCAGATCAAAGACATTATTCAAATGCTCCGTCTTACTGCGGCAAATAACACACTAATGGAAAATTTATCCGGCGGAGAAAAGAAACGGTTGTCTATCGCTCTGGAACTCATTAACAATCCTCCTGTGATATTTTTAGACGAACCTACAACGTAAGTTTTTTATTATTATTATTATTAGTCTAATAGCAAATTATAACCTTCTCGATTAACATTATAAACATTTACAACGATACCATAATTAAACGTCGGTATATATATACATATACCTATTGTATAATACAAGCGTAATATTTTAAATTTACGTGTCAAGGATTCGTAAAATATTGTTGTTACGAGTAAGTAGGTAATTTCCAAAAATTAATTATTTATATTCGCGTACGTATTTTGTCCTTCGTCTTATTTTTATAATACTACCCATACGCGCTTATCACGGTTTAAATATGAATGGTAAATCATAATAATAATTATAACGGTTTTCTTAGACCGATGGTACGTATTGGAAATACGCTGCAAAATTTAAATTTTAAACAATTTCTTAAATTTCTTCTATTGGCGTTTATTTTCTCTTTCTTAATCGAACGAACGACCAATTTTAGATTAAACGAAAAAGAGCGTTTAGTATTTTTTCCAATCCGTCCAAAATCGCTATAATCGAGCATTCAAGTGCGCGCAATGTACCTACTGACATCGTGTACAATCAATAAAAAAAATATAATACTAATAAACAAGAAAATAAACAATCGTCTTGAACAATTTCACGGCGGTTTATCGTATTGATATTCTTATCTGTATTTTTCTCAGGGGCCTAGACGACTTATCAAGTTCGCAGTGCATATCGTTACTTAGGGATCTCGCACACGGTGGACGAACGATTATATGTTCGATACACACGCCTAGCGCCAGACTTTTTGCACTATTCGATCACATTTATGTGATTGCCGACGGTCAGTGTATGTTCGCCGGAGTCAGCCAAGACATGGTTCCGTATTTGTCCACTGTAGGAATCAATTGTCCTAAACACTTCAATCCGGCTGATTTCAGTAAGTACCTATCAACACAAAGAAGATATGGACTGGACACGCATGGATAAAAATCAGTCGAGATAAATGTATATGAAACGTATTTTTCGTGATTCTTAATTAAATCCGCTAGGCACCGACCTTATCGTGAAATAAGCGATGAACATCCGGATAAGGAGCAACTATCCGGCCAAGACAATTTCTCCTCACCGTGATGGCACTACCACCCACCCACCTTTGACATGTCCAGTTCATATCTTCTTGGTTCGTGATGCTTACCAACAATACGGATATCACCGATGACACGTGTAAAACAATTATTCTAAGTATCAATATCGTTGTTTTTTTTTATTAGTTATCGAAGTCTGTAGTAAAGAGTACGGAGATTATACGGATAAATTGTCGACGGCCGTCGAAAACGGCAAGTGTTTGAGGTGGTCTCAAAATAATTCCATTAAAAAAACGATCGTACGTCGAGCTTCGCAGTACGATGTACAATCCAACCATTTGTACGACTTCTCAAGCACGGGATGGGCTCAATTCACCACCCTCCTCAGACGAATGGTGTTACAACACAAAAGAGATAAGGTAAACAGTAGAAAACATATTACGGTTTATTTTTTTTTTGTCAAATTCTCCTCCCGAAAATAGAGACTATATTATTGTGTCTGTGTAATGATCAAATTTTGTTTGAATTTTACATGGTGAAGTATCAAGAATGTTTCTTGAGAGTTTTAACCATCGACTCCCTCTCCGATCGTTTTTATACTGAAATTTCATGTTTTAAAGAAAATATCGGGTCACTACAAATTTATAAAAAAAAAAAAAAAAATAGGAGAAATTTGACGCTTGATCCTCTGTTGCTTGCGGGTGTTTTATATATATATATTTTTTTTTTTATGTGAAATGCTTTTTTATAATCACGTTAATTATTATTTTTTTCCAGTCCTATTTGTTTTTCAAACTGTTCATGTACACGTTTATGGGTCTCGTAGTCGGCGGTATGTTTTATCAATTCGGAAATGACGCCTCGTTGACGATTTTCAATTACGGTTTCATATTCATCACGATAATCGTTTTTATGTATACGCCGCTCATGCCGGTATTATTGAAATGTAAATTTTAAAACTTCTTGTATACATTATAATAATATATTATAAATTGCATAACTTACAATTATTGATATCATACTTACTTGTAATTTTGAACATAGTTCCCAAAGAAGTGCAGCTATTAAAACGTGAATATTTCAACCGGTGGTACGGTCTGAACGCGTATTTTTGTGCGCTCACGTGTTCACAACTTCCGATGCAGGTAAAAACTATACACCGTTTCCAAAAAATCATAAAACAAAATTCACAATATTATAATGTCCGTCTTAATATTATTGTTATTATTTTTTTTTTTTTTTAGTTTATTCTGTCGTTTGTATATATAATAATCACTTATTTAATGACTGATCAACCGTTGGAATGGGAACGAGGAATCAAATTTTCCATCGTGTGTCTAATGGTTTCTTTATCGTCCGAGAGCATAGCTTACGCAGTTTCTTCTCAATTCAACGTTACGGTAAGTTTTATTTTATATCTATAACCATAAAAAGTTTTAAATTAATATCCGATTATCAATCGTATAATAATAAAGACTATAATCTAACGATAATTCATTAGATCAGTGTTTCCTAGCCTGGGAAGCGCGCCCTTCTAGGGTGAGGGGGGACGTGAACACATTGCGAGAGAGACGCAAACAGTCATCATGAAGTAAAATTTGTATTTATTAAATTATTTTCATTTTGCAACACAGGGAAAAAATTAAAAATTAATAACGACCAGGGCGGGGCAGGGCCGTATTATATACGAATATTATATTGTATAGGAATCCTATAAAGGGGGGAGGTATAGGAAAAATAGGCTGGGAACCACTGCATTAGACTTTACGAATGATTGTCTACGAAAATCGACGTCACAGCTCGTCCTTCGCGATAATAATGTTCGATATCGTGATTGGTAACTATTAGTACCTAGAGAACGATAGCCAACTTAGCTGATCAATATTTAATGAATCGCCATTTCGTATAATATAAGTACTCGGATAGTGTGACCAAAGGGGGCTTTGTAATCAATGACAAAATTACTACAATTCACGCAATATACTGCAGTAATACATATTGATGCATAGTGTATTATTCTAATTACATTTTATATTATCGAAACAAAATATGTGTAAAAAATTACTAAATTTCGATGGGAACTTTTAAATGTTAACAATACTAATTGTACCTATTATATTAATGTATAAAATGACGGTATTTTGATATAAATAACAGGTCGATCAACTACAGAAGGTATTATGCGGTTGGCCATTATATTACAGTCTTACTATTTATTATATACTGTAGAGTCTAAAAGGGAGTCCTCAGCCCGTCGTGTCGTTTCGTTTCGTGTGAAATACTCTTTTCTGATTGGCTCATATTATCACGGTAGAGACATTTTAATCGTATCTATCAAAATGTTATCGCGGCTACCGCAGAATTGAATAAATTCAATTTTTGGTCGTGCTGGCCGTAGCTGGTAAACTTATATCAATTAGTACGATCACAAATCTACAGTAGAATTAAATTTATTATTGATAACTACTAACGTTATTATTATTATTATTATTTTTTTTTTTTGCGTGTGTTTTTCATTTTTTAATCGTTGTTTAATAATTAAACTAATGGGAATTATTATTAACTAATCATTTAATAATTCAATATGAACTTTGTGAAGGTACCTAATAAACGAATTAAACTTACCTTGTAACTTATACTTTTCTTCTAATTCAACAAAATAATGTACGCTACCAATACTTTATAATGGTAGATTTGTTCATTATAACAATTTCGTTTCATATTTGATAAGCACAAAACAGACAACAAGACGGTGAAACAATGATGAAAAAATAACAATAAATATTCATAAATAATAGGTATATAATATAATAATAATATTAATAATTTTAAGTAAAATTTTAAAGTAAATGGTGTTAGTGAGTGATAATGTAAGTTGGTAGAACGACGGGTAACGAATTATTTCATGCAATCAAAAAGGAACATACCGTGTTAAAAACGTACGGAACGAAACGATACATGTTGAGGACTTCCCTTAATAGAATGTATAATATTATCTATTTGGTTCTCGTCTAAATCTATAATACTATCGTATCGTCTATTATCACTACTAGTATGAAGACTGAAGACAGTATCTATTTCAGTAACATTTTCGCGTATCGTGTGCCTTTTACCGTATTCCGAACAGCATAGTTGTAATCTTAGCGATATTCGGTAACCAAGACCTACCGACATATTATGTCCAGACAGTTGGACTGATTTCAACTTTTCTCTCGTTTGGGTCACAAACGGTCAGCTAATTTTAATTGTTATCAGCGTATATATCCTTGGACACGAACACGACACACGGTGACTTTGTAAATCCTGCAACATATACCGGCACTAAAATGCATATACCATCGCGTACTCGATAATAATAATAATATTGCGTATACCATGTACCAGGTGATCCATTTAAGTACACTCACTATCTCGGAAAGTAATAACTTTTTCCGGATTTTGTTTCCATGAACATTTAGGAAATGAGCTGCACTAAATTTCTATATTAATGTTATTTTTTGTCACTCTCATTTTCGGGGGTAAGACTACTTTGACCTACCTTTGACATTCAAATGGCGACCTACAATACAAATGCCATAAATAGAAGGAGTATTGGTTAAAATTTTCGATTTTTGTTGATCCGTTGACGAGATGTTCCACTTTTAAATTTGGGTCGGAGGAGAGTAGCGGAGTATCATTTGTGTGGTGGTACGGCGCGTGGCGTGTTAATAATGCTTTAATCAACATCGAAAACGTGAAAAAAAACATTAACGTTTTTTAACGAACACCCCGTCAATTTTCGATACACAGGTTTCCGTTTGAAAATCAAAAGTAGGCAGTGGTTTTATCCTCGATAATAAGGGCGACGAAAAACAACACGAATGTAAAATTGTAGAGCCGTTGTCGTTTTTTGAATGTTCTCGAGAAAACAAACTCCCGGAAAAAGTCGGTACTTTCCGAGTGAACAACGGGTGTGCCCACTCGAACGGGACGCCCGCAGACGCCTGCGCTGTTATGCCGCGCGTACCTGCAGGAATGATTGTCGCGGCTATTGACGGCGAGCCTAATGCCGTTTTTTCCGTTACAGAACAGCGTGTTCTTGGGACCGTGCGTCGCGTGTCCGATGATGCTCTTGGCTTCGTTCGGGCTGGGCTACGACGAGAACGAGATACCGAGCTTGATCAAGTTGGGCATGAACTTCAGTTACCTGCGGCACGGGGTCGAGGCACTGGTCATAGCCATCTACGGCAACGGCCGGAAACAGCTCCATTGCGGCGAAGGCGAACAGTACTGCGAACTCCGCTACCCGTCGGAGCTGTTGAAAACGGTCGGCATGTCGACCGCCACGTACTGGGGATCGCTGAGCAGTTTGTGCGCCATGTTTGTGCTGTTCAAAGCGGCGTCGTTCGTGTTGCTCCGGCGGAGACTCAGCACCAAACCGTCGTTGCTGCTCAAGCTCGGCTTCGTCGGCCGCTTCATCAAAACCCACTTCAACATACCCCGCTGACGGGATGAAATAACGCGAGTTGTTTAACAATAAATACTAATATTAATACGTATTGCATAGTTGTATAATATTTAAGAGCGACGCGACAATACGCTCGTGTTCCCGCCCGTCCAGAACTGTTGTAATCCTATTACATCCGCGCAGGGCAACGGAATTCGTTCGCCGGGGTAAACGAGACGACCGTCGAGGAAGTCGAGCGACAGTTTGCCGCGATTTTGTCGACGCGTCTCCCATCGCCCCGCCCCCACCCCCCCCACCCCACCCCCAACCACGCGATGCCGCGCGTCACGGCGGTCCGGACCGTTATTTTTGTACGCGGCACCGCCGCGGCGACAACCGTCGCAAGTCTGTGCATACCGCGAGAGACATTGATATTACGTAAAGGCGTCCGATTTCCACGTTGTCCCGCGAGCGCGCGATGTTTGCATGACCGCTCCGCTAGCGCGCGCTCGCATACGGATCGCATCAGGATTCGCGTCTTGATATCGAAATGTTTACAGGCAATACGGGGACGATAATATAAGCATATACATATATTTATATAATTAGGTACTATTATTAAGACGTATACTTATGATGTTATACTATTAAATAAATTATGTGTACATTTTTAAATAAAATTTTACCAAGAAACAATCAGCATCGATACGCGTGCGTATTATACAGCAGTTAGTTATTGTAAACCCCGAACTCGCCTAAAACGACCCAAACGCAACCATAAATCTATCCAGTAACCATCCCACTTCCACCGCTCCCCGTCCACGGAATTCCCAATACTTGTACGCCGATATTTTCGTCTATTTTTACCAAATTAACAGTAAACGAGTACTGGTATTCCGTTGTTTTCGCATTAATCATCTACACACCCGCCACTAAATCCATACAAAAAAGAAAAAAAAAACAAAACGAGAACCGGCCGTTTCTCGAAACCGCGTTCATTTCGACACTGGTAGACATCCACTGGGACGCGATCCGTTCGAGATGGATCACTCGCCCAATTTTCGTCTTACAATTCGTCAGTATTACGACTATCTGCTATATTGTAGAAAAAAAAAAAACACAAACTGTGTTATACACGTAATGTTCACCGCCATCGTGAGATTTCTGAAAAGAAATTATTCTAAAGTACAAAGAACTGCAAACGCTTTCGACAAATTGTCACGGCCGATATCGGCCGTCCGTATGGTAAATCTACGAACGAACCCTAATCTGTACAGCCCCGAGATAAGACGATAAAACACCAGCAGTCCAATATTTTACGACAACGAGGTATGATTCAGAATGTTAAACCAGCTGAATTACCCGGTATTTCTCTAGCTCGATCCTTTTAAAAACAGAAATCAATAATTGAAATACAATTTAACATGTCTCCTCGAGTTCATTCTTGCCTCCGATCACAGTTAATCGTTGTTGCCTTGTAGTTTATCATTTAAAAAGGACACTTCCTCGTCTGTTACAAACAAATTAAATAATTATAACTGGTTTCTTCGTTCGTGTCGCCAAGGTAACTCATAAATCAACAGAAAAAAAAAAATACCAAAAACACCGTACCAACCAACCCCTAGAGTGTAGAGGTCGAATTTCGAGATAAAATGTATACATCGATCCTCCTCTCGTTTTGAATGTCGAGTGTGCAAATTTTTATCGAAATAAAATTTTAGATTTGTATAACGGACAGACATGCATACAAACGGAATTTTAATTTTATACACATGAGTGGGTGTCCGTCGTTCAACTCGAGTGTAAGTATACAACAAGTACGTATTTTTTTTTTATTTTTTAAACACTGTCAATTATAATATAATATACACAATATTATCGGCTTTAACGAGGCAACTTTCGTTTTTGGTGGTTCGTATAATACGAGTAATGAGTATATATTTCTGTCATTATCCAGAGTGGTTTCGCATAATGTTGCACACGTCGCGGCTCGCGTGACCATAGAGAATTCGTGAAGATTATTATAATATTATTCTGTTCGTGATTCAGCAAACGATACACTTGTTCCAAAGCTAACCTATCCAATTAATCTGGAGGTCGGTAAAATAATATATAAAAAAAAAAATATCAAACGATACGAAACGATTGAAACGAATGATTTTTTTAATTCTATAATATTCGGAATTCCTGTGTTTTTAAATCCATTTACCAATTTAGTGAATTTCTCAGCAGTTTAATGGATTTTAAGAACGATTTTTTTATTACTGTTGTGGAACTTGGTGATTCATACCCGTAACTGCCGTAAACAGCTAAAATTCTATTATAATATTAGTTTTCTTTGTTTTATATTCGTACAATATCACAATTCTTATTCAAAACGTGTGTATAATTATTTGTAAACGAATTATATTTATTGGCTTATTGAATTGTCTCTCTACAGCTTTCCACGTTCAAAACGTTTAAATCTTCTTCCGCCGTGTCAATCCGTCTTGTCCTTAAGAAAGTTTAAGGTCTTTTTTCTCGAGGTTTCCATTCTGTCGGTGCCATAAACAATTCTTTCATAAATAATTTTCTCCTCGCCGCGTTGTGTAACCATCGTATCATTTGTCTTATTCGTCTACTGTCACTGGTGTTAGTTCCACCATACCGTATACCGCCCTCAGTTGAACCTCCTTCGCCGGTTTTATGTTCCTTCAACCGATGGGTCCGTACATATCATTCATCCGTACTTTATTCTCCCTGTCCGTTTGGTTGTAGTCCAAACCTCATCACAACCATAAGCGAGTCTTACAATGATTGCTACTAGTCTTACTTTTGTTTTTCTATTTATCGATTTGGACCACAATTATTAAATCTGCAACGAGTAAATGTTTTTGATTCATTTCACATTTTTCATGGGATGCAAAACCTATAGGTAGTAGGTACTGAAAATTAAAATCACCTTGAAATCACCTCGCGTAATATATTTAGCACGAAATCAATAATTTCCATATTTATTACTTAACTCTATTTTTCGATCGTCACATATTCAAATGTATAATACAATTCAAAAACGTACTTCCCGCAAATGACGCACTTGCTTTATATTTTAATCGAATATACTTCTCGCATTTAATTAATCATTTGTAATGCTTATAGCTGCTCATGAATATCTAAAATGCTAAAATCACTGACTTTTTTTTTTTTTTTTGTAAATTAAACCTTTCGACTGTATACTTATAAGTACATTATTATGTACACATAATAAATTTGAACGATACGTGTGAATCAAATTCACTTTGAAATATACGGCAGGCATTCAAAATATTGTATTTTAGTCTGGGTACCTATATTGATTAATATTTTCCATTGAGTTACATTAATTAACAGCGCGTATAATAGTGAATACAGTAGAGTAACTGTGTATAATATAAGAATAACTATAGATTTGCAATTACGTCACGATAAATTCGTCTACGGGTAAGTTGGTAATCACTCCGTATGCTCGTAATTCACATGTTAACGATTGTACACACTCACGCGTAGTTATTATGTACATGCTCTATCGTATTACAATATTATTTCTATACACAGTCAACGCAGACACTGCATCGACAGGATATCTATATTACATTGGAAGCTATAATACAACCCGGAAGTTTAAAATCGATTATTTTATGGGCGTTCGCCGTTATTACGAATTAAAATTAAAATGTATGAAAATGTAGTAGCAATGATAACAAATAGTATTACTATTGTAGCATTCAATAGTACCTATGATTGTAATTTATTTATTTTTTAACCAATGGTATAAGTATTAAAGTATAGCTATTGGTCATAGTTATATCTTATACAGGTAAAATACAAAACGATCCGGCGCACTTGTGCCGCTGGTGTAGATGGTAAATTGGGAAGCCGGAAAACATATATGGTAGAATTATTTAATTTATATCTGTACGCAACGATAAACCATTGTTAATGAAAAATAATTAGAATTAGAATGATAATTCATGTTTTACTGAATCGTATAATAAAAACTCTCAGATTTGTTTTCAACTAACGATTCGCGATCGTTTAAAAAAATCTTTAATAACATGCAAATCGAACTGTGTGTAACAAGAATTAAATATCGATTTATCTAATTAATTGATAGAAAAAATATTTGATTTTGAAAATAAATTATTATAGCGAAAATCTATCGATGCATTACTATACATACAATATAAATTAGACTATTATACTAGAAACCTAAATTAAACCTACATTAAAAACTAATTTAATTTAATTGGTTAAGATTTTAAGATTCTGAGTGGAGCAAAGAAGCTTATGTTTTTGCAAAGATTTTTTTTTTTTTATATGTGCGATACTTATCTACCAGAATACTTGTTCGGAGTTTTACGCGTAGCGCTTTTTTTAAAAGAAAATCGGCGTGGGGAGTTACTTTAAATAGGTCATTTTTCGATTTTCCTAAGAGCTTTCCAAGCAAATATGAAAAACCAGGATAAAACATGGGAAAACCGGGGAAAACGTAGAAAAACTGGGAAAATCGGTACAACATCAGTAAAAAAAATGTTATTAAAGAAAATATATAAAGCCTATTTAGTTATTTTACTACAAAATAACATATATGTTGTTGACAAAGCATCACTATCAACTGAACTCCGCTCAGAATCGTTTTTTCGTAAACAATGGTTTATCGTTGCTTATAGATATACATTAAATTCCCGTTTATATCCTACCTTCCCAACTTCCCACCTACACCAGTGGCTGCATCCGTCGCCATTATCTTACCTTTTTTTTTTAAATTATATAACAAGGAATTTTTTATTTTTATTTTTATAATACGAAATATTGATTTGTTTACTCGAATTTATATGAGCGTGCAATATAATGTATTGATAGGTATGTTATTAAGATAACGGATAGAGAGAAAGTTATTAGTTTTAATGATGTGTGATTTTTTTTTCATTCTTGAAAAGACTTTTTAATGTTGGCTGGTAAAAATATTGAAAAAAGTTCCACCTGGCAACTTTTTCGGTGTATTACTATTTATTATTCTATATTTTTTTCCGAATTCAAAAATTGTCTACTTATTAAACAATATACATAAACCTATTTTTTTAAAAAAATTACAAACAATACAAGAACAAACCATGTTTTGGTGGATTTTGTCGTTTTTTATTACCTATATTTGTCCAAATTTGAAATGTTTTTAATTATTCATAAAATACATAGGTATATTAGGGATACGAATTTATTTTTCGTTAAGTTTTTCAAAACAAAATTAAATTAGGACAAACAGACGGTTTTTAAAAACATTTGGAAAAGATCTCAAAAAAAGGCCAAAGTGCTATTTAGAGATACTATAAAAGATGACCAAAAAGTGCTCTTAAAATGGAAAAGTTTAATTTTACTAATTGTTATTTGTTTGATCAATATTGAGCCCGATTAACGCTGCACAGCCTAATAAATAAATATAAAACAAAGACATCATCAAAAACATAGTTAGACTCATTGACAATTTGTATTGATAAAAAATACCTAAAACCTAAAAAAGCAAATTTCATGAAAACAAAATTTGTTCAAATGGTATTTTTTCGAATTAACTAAACTAAATATATTATCGCGAATAATGTACAAAATATATGCTTTATATATTAAAAAAATTACGTTTTTAAGCTGGTTTTTATGGATTTTAAATGCACAAAGTCCCGAGCCCCGCTAATAAATAATCATCGGAACGGTCAACGATTGATTTGCAAAAAAAAAAAAAAAAAAATCGAGATTAAAAACTAATGTAGTTATAATAAATAAACGTAATATACGTTCATTATATGTAATATAATAAACGGATGGAAATCTATTATCATAAATGTATAAACCCTTGACCGTGATCGTCAACAATTATTACTGCACATATTTTCATTTATAAATTGTCATACCCATCTATATATGTATGCGTTTAATTGTGATTATGCGATAGTTTATTCAAACATATACTACATAGGTAAACACTCGTTAAGTGGCTAATTAATATTACAGTATTTATATGCCGAGTTACGAATGATATTAATGATAATCAACTAAACATAATATGTATATATTATTTACTATACATCTGTGCAAGAGTAGCTAGCATAATATTTATATATTCAGTGTTCGTAAAAAAAAACAAAAAAAAAAACCAAACAGGAAATAGGTAATAGTATATTATAATAATATTGTTCCGCAAATATACCAAACCGATCAGAATAAGTAGGGAAATAATAATCGTATTTGTATAGTAATAATAACAATAATATGTACTTTTATACTTTTAAATACTCATACTTCGGAAAGTGAAATGTACGCGCGAGTGTATTTTAAAACAAAGAAGAAAAAAACGAACCAATGGGTGTGCCATTGTTGTTGTTTTTGTAGGTGGGTAGTCGGGAAGATATTCTGTGTAGTTCCGAGCGGAGTTCGATTGTATAACATATATTTTGAAATGCCGAAATTTCGATAACTTAAAATGATTATGAAAAAAAAAAAAAAAAAACCACTAAATTACGCTTAAATTTTTTTTTATGACTACAAATTATGAGAAACTTCGTGTAAAACTGTTAACTATTTCTGTTCGGTCAAAACGATTTTATCCACACAAAACTAAATCAAACCATTCAAACCTGTAAAAAAACAACAACAGATGTTTATAAAAAGCTCAAAAATCTCCAGTATACTTCTGAAACTATTGAATAGTTCGATAAGAACCATTATATTCGGTTGCACCTACACCAATTATTATATACGTTTTAAGTTCTAGCAGAACAAACAAACAAACAGACTTAAAAA